TTTCTATCACCTTCTTTATTCACAGGCGACTCCTATCGACCAGATCTTGTCTTCGTAACTGAAGATCGAATCCTCTACATGCTAGAGCTTACTGTTGGGTTCGAAAGCAACATCGACGAAAACAGTACTCGAAAAGCTAGGAAATATAGCGACCTTATCAAGGAACTGAGCCCTGCCTATAAACGTGTTACCTTTGTTAACCTTTCTATGAGTGCCCTTGGCATTCTGGGAACCTCATCTACCTCTCTCTCTGACATGCTACACCAACTTAATTTTGACTCAAATCAAACTAAATCCATCTTGATGAAACTCATGAACATTTCTATCCGCTGCACCTACTATATCTTCTGTCGTCGAAACAAACCATGGCTAAGGCCCGAACTAATTGACTTTTAAATATTGTAATGCAGATAAGCCAATTATATGATGCCTGTAAAAGCGAGTCGTATAATTGTAAATTTAAAATGTATTCAATGAAAATGAGATGTTTAAAAAAAATTATTATTATTATACTTTTCTGAAACACAATGGCTTTATCGAGCACCAAATCCAAAAGGCTTCACCTCAAAAGTATCAGGTACATTAGAGCACACAGCAATGATGAGCCATTTAATAAATAAAGCTCGCATTAAGCAACGATCTTTAGTGGTATCTTTGCTGGATCTTAAAAACGCTTTTGGCGAAGTTCACCACAAGCTGATACCAGCTATTCTTGCTTATCATCATATACCTTCGGAAATTCAATCATTAATCTCAAGCTTATATCTAGATTTTAAAGGCATTGAGTCATGGTAAATAGGCCTTCTCTATAGGGGGCCATTTGGTTTCGGCGTGATCGCTGCTGTTTCATGTGATATTTGCATCCGTTGTTGACAACTTGCTATTGATGAAAATTGCTTTGTCAATCAGTACGAGGTGAGTTCATGTGACCAGTTTCAGGTCAACCAATAGCATCGCAGTCATGAAAATCATGACTCAGCGGATTTTGGCACTTAGGGTATACCCAATCCATTTCATCATGACTCAATGCCTTTAAGACCTGTATCATAACTGATAAATTCCAAACCCCTGCTTAAATTCCAAATTCCCGTTCGCCGCGGCGTATTTCAAGGTGACTGCCTCAGCCCCCTTCTTTTCAACCTTTGCTTCAACACGTTCATACAATACATCAAATCAGATAAATATGAGCAGCTTGGTTTCTCCCCCCATGATGGTAATGACTGTATGCTTCAGCCAGTACACTGGTTTCAGTTTGCTGATGATGCTGCTGTTGTTACCAGTGGAGAAAAGAAGAACCAGCTCTTATTAAACTTTTTTTTTTTTTTTTTTTTTTTTTTTGAACAAATAAATTCTCATCAATGATTCAACATTTGGCGCTGCTTATATACCGAAAGGCCGCCGGTTCACAAATGTTTAGAACAAAACTTGAAAAACTTGAATCTTTTTATTTTTCCCAACTCTTATTAAACTGCTTTACCAGATGGTGCCAATGGGCAAACTTCATTGTCAGGGTTGACAAATGTGTTACCTTTGGTGTCAAGAAACACTCTACGCGATCCCTCCAATTTCAACCGAAACTTTTCATCTGTAGCCAAATAGTGCCTGCTGTCAAAAATGGCGATTCCTTTAAGTATCTTGGTCGTTTCTTTGATTTTGAAATGAGTAACCAAGATCATAAATCTAAACTCGTTTCTCTTTTCTCTACTCTTATGAAGGATATTGACGACTTACCTCTCCATCCTAAATACAAACTGCTATTATATTATCGTTATATTCTGTCAAAAGTTTCATGGCATTTTACTGTTGCAGATCTACCAAAGACCTGGGTTGTCCAAAACCTAGACAATCTTGTTTCCAATTACATTCGCCAGTGGCTTGACCTTCCTGTTTCTGCAACATTGAGTGGAATAATCCTCTCAAAAATCAGTTTGGCCTAAATCTACAGCTGCCTTCTATCAAATTTACGCAATGCCAAACTGTCTGTCGCAATGCCCTAAAATCTTCTCCTAATATTGACATTCAAATCCTATGGAAAAACACCAGTCATGGCACGAACCTGCAGTACGACATCTATCGTAATACTAAAGAGGTATTGAAGGCTGTCAAATCAGACAACAAAGAACGTCTCTCCCAAAACTTACCATCTCAGGGAGCTACAATTACCTTCCTACTGAAACGTTCACTGGAAAAGCTGAACGGTATTTGGTCAAGTACACAGAGCAATTTGCCTAGTAACATCTTTAACTTTACCATCAAGTATCTTAACAACACTCTTCCAACTCGTAAAAATCTGCTAAAATGGAACCTTAGTCAAACATCTGACTGTGAATTCTGTCTTCTTCCAGAAACACTTCTACACGTTGTTGCTGGATGCAAAGTGTACCTTGACCAAGGCCGCTATACTTGGCGTCATAATTCTGCATTAAACTTTCTAGCCACTTCCTTCCAAGCAATAAATGGGTCTTCTCTCTACGCAGATTTACCAGGCTTTCTTTCCCCTCCTATCATAACTGGAGATCAACTACGCCCTGACTTACTTCCTAAAACCAAAGAAAACTGTCTGTACGTTTTAAAGCTAACCATAGGCTTTGAAACAAATCTCAACTGCAATGCTGTCAGAAAGTTAAAGAAATATGCCACCCTCGTATCTGACTTAAAACGTCAGTTTAATTCAGTCTCGTTTGTCAATCTTTCCATCAGTTCACTTGGTATTTTTGGCGACTCCTGCAGCTCATTCATCGACATGTGTGACTCTTTGTCCATTGATCATCAATAGAAATGCTACCTCATCTCCAAACTTACAAGCATCTCCATTCGCACCACATACTATATATTCTGCTGTAGAAACAAAACTTGGACTAATCCAGAGCTACTCCCCTTTTAACATTTTTTTTTCTCATTACTACGGTGTAATAGTTTTTTCTTGTAAAACCAGGCTAGCCAATTGCAAATTACCTTGTAATAGTGAGATTTGTAGTTGTAGTTTAAGTTGAATTGAAAATGAAATGTTTCCATTATTATTATTACTATTTTTATTATTATTATTTTTATCTCATTCCCATTACGCCACTATTTTTGCAGAATAGAAAACAACAATAACCTGACCAAAACATGTCAGAGGAGATAATAACGAATCGGAAACAATTATCAACTAAAGGTGTAATAATTAAAAGACGACCAAGTTGTGACCATTTAAACCCTGGAAATTTCAAAGGTCACGTTAATTCAAAAATGCTGACTTAAGAAAATAGTGACTATATATATATATATATGAATCAAAAGAGCTCTTCGAGACCTTTGTAAATTTTAACATGTTTGTTAGATAGTTAGAGAATATGCCTTATTCAAAAAGTTCCATTCAAAAGGTAAGTCAAATTCAATTTTAATTCAAATCTTTTGTCGCTGTTACTGTGAGACTTGCGGCTTCTTAACTTGAATTTTTCTTTTTTGCCTCAGCTATTTTCGATAATGACATTGGCAGGAGCTTAGGCCTTTATAATGCAACAACCTTGTAAGCAAATTCGTCTCACCGCTGAAGCACTTTCGCAAAAGGTATATGCATATTTATTTTCCTTTAATCTTGATTTTTTATGCATCAAAAATGTTAAATAAATATTTGTAGCAAATAAATTGTCCATTCTCTTTTAACGTTCTAAGGTGTTTCATTCTAAATACTTGAAATTAAACCTTATAGACTCTCCTCGCAACCTATGATGAAGTCAAGTGATAAGATGTTTCAACATATCAATATATTTAAGTAATAAAGATATTAAAGATATTAAACAAATTCCACTGTCATTGCAAACCTTTCGAGAAAGTTAGTGAGCAGGACAAAACCCCAAAGATTAAGAGCAGTTTCAACACCATTCTGGTGATACCTGTGGCAAAATTATCAAAAAAATCATCAATCAATGCGTTAGCTGTAATACTCCTATTTTATAAATTCATCTAAATTTTGAGATTCAAGAAATGATTCCTTGTAGTTGCGTCTTTTCTTGGTGCAAGCGTTGTTGTGAAACGATGCAAATATTCAACAGCAATATGACAGTTAACATATGTTAATTGCAAAAAAGGATAGAAAATATCACCGTCTAGACGGTTGGATTTTGAGACTGAACCAGTTTTAGTGGCAGCTGTCCCTCTATGCGTTTGGATTGATGTTGTTGTCAAGGCAACATTAGTGTAGATAAGGGAACTGTGCGAGAGGTTCTTATGAACGGGAAAATTCGTAAGCGTTTTTTGGCTCTAGCTGTGCTATAGTAGAGGTGCTTTTTGTGTTTCTTTCTCCATATAAGAATACTTTTGCTAATGAAAGAATGCAAAGAAATATCTATGTCAAAAAGCTATTAATGTGAAAAATATAAATAGCACGTGAAATGCCACTGGGAAATGGGGTATGGTGATATACTATTTGCAAAAACTGGCGCTGTTGCGTTGAGACTTCAAACAATTTGCCTTATAGGTGACAGATGCAAGATATGTGGCATATTATAGGATAGGAAAAGTGCTGCCGGAAGGGTCCTGTGCAGCGCTAAAAGCTAAATGTTTATAAATATCTGTAATAAAAAAGGATCGAGGCACATACTGAGTCCAGACAGGGGCATATTTGAAAGTGGGCATTTGGTGTACATGAATTGAATCTCTGAAGTAAACATGGTAGATAAACCATGAAGGCGGTCATACCATGAATTTGATCACTTTTGCATCGATACAATGTTGCTATGCCCCTTTGCTGTTTTTCATTTTCAAGCTTTCATGACATTTAAACAATATTATTTTTATCAGTCACCGTACTCTCTCCTCGATTAGTTTATCTATTGAGAGAACCCCCCCCCCCTAATTAATAATGACTGATCCCTTAGATCTGTCGATTATTCTATCGGGTGGCAATAACCGAATAACACTAGATATTGATACTAAGTACTAACCTTTTTTTCTTTTAAACTGTTAGCTATTTTTAGCCAGAACCAGGCTATGGATTCTCTTTTCAACGCTTCTCATTTAGCTTTCATTATAAAACTATCACCAGATCACAACGGAGTAGTCCTTTTATTTTGCTGAACTATCACTTTTACTGACAGAAGAGATATTCTACATGAACGTTTACTTTGTTTGCAGATAGGTAAGCATTCTATCAAGTTTGCAGATAAAGTTTTGTTAGTTTATCCGGGGAATATGCTTAATGCTCGTTTCTTAGGAGAGTCTTGAAAGCCTACTTTTGGAATATGAATCAACGGTATAACATTGGTAATACAGAGGCGGCGTCACGAAATTGAACCAGGGGGACTAAGAATGAATTTTAGTGATATAGGAGAACCCACCATGGTTGGGTATGATGCGAAAGAGAATTTTTGAATTGGGCCTCCTAGAACGGCTAAAAATGCATCTCCCAGAATAAAATTTAACAATTCACTATACCGCTCAGATAAAACAATTTGCCGATTCTTAGAAAAACATTGATTACTGATTTTTAGGAAAACTTTGGGAGGGGAGGAGTAGTGCTAAAACTTTAGTGACAGACGTTGGGGAAATTAAGAAATGCTGACCTTTGGCTCAGAGTGCACATCGATGTGAATAACAAAAAGCTGTTGTTTTGATTCAGAGGATTTTACATCCTGAACAGAAATATGCATCTTCTTAGTCCCGAGTGTGTTTTAGTAGACCACGTTTACACATCCAAAATGCAGACATTGCTATGATATAGAAACTAGAATGTTATCTACTGAATTAATGCAAATGATAGAAAAATAATAGAAATATACCTAAACAAGTTAGCAAAAAGATATAAGAAAAGCAAACAGTATATAAACAGTTTATTCTCTTTTCATTTCAAACTTTGTTTTCAAAAATAAGAAAAAAGAGGGTCAAAAATGTTTATCGCTGCAAAAGAGGGGGCTTTAGCCCCAAATGACATCGTGCCTGAGATACATAAAGATATAATTTATTTGGTTATCATAAAGAGAAGAAAATGGCTAATGAAACCTAACAGCATATCGTTTCAAAAAGGGATGCGCAAACTCATGCTGAGTTGGCTGAATTTTGCCACGTCGTATAACAAGCATACGGATTTCCAAATTCTAAGGCATTATGAAGTGCGTTTGTGATTAACTGTATATTATCTTTATTATTACCGTTGGTTTTAGTTGAGCTCTACACGTAGCTTGATTCCATTATCTCCTTTGACTCTCGATGATAGTTTGTATTCATTTGTCTCAGTAGCAATTCATCACTGCACATTTTTGATTCATCACTGCACAAATTGGTCATCACTGCACCTTAAATTAATCCTTGAATGAAAGAACCTTTATTCTTTGACAGAAGGCGGTGGACTCCTCAAATGTACAATGAAATATGCAGCGGAAAGAGGCCTATGCACAGCCAAGAAAGATGTTCTGGCCGTGAGTACCCCGTTTCGTCGTTATAAGCGGGGATGGCTAGGCCATGCTAAATGCATTTTCCTATCGTTATATTTTGTAGCTTTTTCAAACTACATTTGGCTATTTTGCGATCTTTAACTCTTTTTCATTTACGAACATGCTAAATTTGATGCTCTCATTAGGGATTGTCCGAGTAGCTGCATAAAATGAAGGGAAAATATAAGCCAATACACTTGCAAAAATTATGAACTCATTTTTTGAATGAATTATTTTTCATCCTTGAGCACATATCTGGTTCACCTGTGATAATGTTACAGAAGCCAGTCATTATAAACAACTTAGAGTGTCCTTCCATTCTCTATAAAAAGCAAATGATGTTAGAAAAAGCTTCTCGTGCTAGAAGATGTAGAAAATAAATGTAAAAGGTTAATGGGGTTAGGAAAATGTAGCACGGAAAATCAAGGAACAATCTTTGGCATCTTACCAATATGTTTAGCGCAAAAAGTTTAATTTTAGCTCGTGGCATAACGATCTCCTCGTGAGATATCATAGAGATAGGCCATATATATTTTTTTGAAAACTGAGGCGTGCGGACGACTATCATTTTTCTGTACAGTGCTTATATGAGTTGATGTAATCATGATGTAATCAATGATATGTTGGCATTGTAGTTTTTAGCATTATCAATGAATTCAATTGGCTTGAGGTTCACATCTTTTGTAGAACCAGTTAACTTTCTTCAGATCACGCAGGTTGTTCTGAATTTTTTCAAAAATCTGAGGCTGGATTGTTCTCAACTTGTTCTTAAATTTTTAGGGCGTAAGCAGTGCTATCTATTGTGCCTTAGGGGGTTTTTTGAGCCTCGTTTGCTAAGCGTGATTTGAGTTGTTTCAATAATAATGAAGGAACCAAAAACGGTTGATACAAACAAAGTTACACACAAAGTTACACAAGCAAGGATATAAACATATTAGACAGTAAACAAATTGTAGAACTAATGAATTATTACTTTATCAATAAAATACAGTCATTAAATATTCCTAAGTACCTGCCACAAGAAAAGAACTATACACCTCCTAATAGCAATGCACAGCCAAAAAGCTTTAATTCTACACTAGATAAAATTGTACAAGCCTATAAACACCACCCTAGTATCATTGCTATTAAAGGGCAAAAAAATCACCAAACTCTCTTCAGCTTTGAGCCTGTATCCATGCAAACAATGGTTCAAGAAATAAAAATGATATCTAGACGATATAAAGAGCGGGTATAATAATGATGGATTTATCCAAAGCATTTGATTGCCTCTCACATGAAATAGTACATGCGTATGGATTCAACAAGCAATCTCTGATGTTATTACAAAATTACCTAGGAGAGGACACAAAAAGTGAAAATTAATTCTCAAACAAGCACGTGGAAAATTGTTACACAAAGAGTCCCACAGGGATCAGTTTTTGGCACCCTATTATTTAACATTTTCTAGATGATATTTTCTATTTCATGACTAGAGACAATCTTTGTAACTTTGCCGATGACAATACAATATGAACAGTAGGTAAAAATGTTGATGATATAATATATAAATTAGAAAGAGAAGTAGCAACTCTAAATAAATGGTAAAGAAAAATGTAACTTTGTGATATTTTAACATAAACAAGCCAAAACTGAAAAAGCAAATATTAAAATAGGAAATGCCACAATCAAAGAGACGAAAAAGGCCTGACAACTTGGAATACGTTTAGACATCAAATCAAACTTTGAAGAACAAATACAAAACTTATGTAAAGAAGCAGGTAAAAAGATAAATGCTGTAGTCAGAATCGACCGTTATGTGAATCAATATAAAAAGTCACTATTGATGAAAACCTTTATACTTAGTTACTTAAACTATTGCCCTCTTTTATGGATGTATTATAGCCGCAAATGTGGAAAATTTATAGAAAGTATTCATAAAAGAGCACTGATAGTGGCTTACAATGATAATGAATCAAGCTTTGGATTTATTCTTTCACAAAAAAATGATGTCAGGATACATCAAAAGAACTTACAACGATTAGCAATAGAAATATACAAAACAGTAAGTAACATGAATCCAGTATTTATAAAGAAATATTCGATCGACAGAAAATTGTAAAGTATTCAAAACGAAATCAAACAAACGGATCTGACTTGCTCGTGTAGACTGTGCATACCATATGTTTCTTATATTTGATACTTGTAAACATTACGATTTGTCTTAGTTATATTTGTTATTGTTACAATTTGGTATTGATTAGCTGTTTATTAGCTATTTTTGTGTAAACCATCAGAAAAGAAAATGAATGAAGAAAGATGCAGATAAAAGATAATGTGATGTTGAATTACAAAAACATGCGATTCCGCTATCGGGCAGCATTTCCTGGAAAATTCAGATTATGCAAAAAACTATATATAATATTAGATTTATAGGCCGAAATGGCCCTCAATCTGCTACAACGAAACAAAACGTCGTAGTTTTAAATGGTTAATTGAACTTGCTACATCTAAAATATTACTACAAATGGCTACAAAAATTATAACAGCTAAAATATACAACAGCAAACTGATCAGCATAATTTTTTCAAAAGGTCTGATAAATTTCATGCTTTTGGAATGCTTGCCATACTGTTATCGCAAGAATTTGAATCAAATCAGTATCTCCTGAACTCATCATCCAAATAAACTTGTTTTCATGACTAAGATTTTTATATAGGGATATCTTTCTTCAATTTTCACTAATATTTTATTCCTTATTTCAGAGTAAAGGGGGCAAACCATTACAAAATTAGATTCGTCTTCAATATCGTGGATGGAGATCGAGTCACAATATCTGAAGATTCTTTCATCCTTGGGGGTGGGCTTGTTGCCATATCTGCCAGTCTAAATATGCAAGTTGTGAGAACCAAGTCTTACTCTGCAAAGCATGCTTCTTGTTTTAAAAAATGGCAACATTTTTCGGATTATTGATACAGCCCGACGGAAATCTAGCACCTTAATACTCCATTGGTTACTTTTTCTGATTCGGCAACCTCAACAGTCATGTGCTCGCGTTTCTGATTGGCATATTTCCATCCACGACTGGGTATATAGATTTCCTAGCTTAGAGTTTTTGATCAATGCTCTTACGTTTGATACTGCGACGAGTGTCAAGCGAAAAGCTGAAGCCATTCTTAAATTTTGTGCTACAAAAACATTGTATATATATATTTCAGCATGTAGTATGTGAGGATCTATCAATGATGAAGCAGAAATAGAGAAGAATATTGTTTCTCTTTGTCGCACTTCTTTGATGACGATCCCACTACACAACGAGCATGGCCACGCTACGCCTACCCCTATGAGCTGACCGACAAACCTCGATATGATCAAGATATAAGAAAATATGCAAACCTCGATATGATCAAGATATAAGAAAATATGCACGTGCAAGTTGATATTTTGTTCAAATAAACTTTTGAGCAAATGTTTTTCTGTGTTTTTCACGGTAAAAGATTGTTGCAATTAGTCTATACCTTCCCTTTCTAGACTTTTCTTTCTGTTACTGAGCAAGGAGCTGGCGCACTCAGAGATTCTTCGTTTGCCCTGTTCCACATTTGCCAACTTCACTGAAATGCACAGAGACAGATCTGTTATGTCATCCTTCAAAACTATCTTTGGTATTGATGTTTATACTTGTAAGTTGGAATGTATAAGCGACAGTAAATGCAAGTCCATAAATGTGAGTGAGGATGACGGTGTTTGCGAGTTAAATGCAAAGGCAGCAGAAGATCCAAAGGATAAGATCAAAACACATCTCAGATATGGATGGACTTATTACTCCACTCTCTACAATCAGACATCGGTGAGCCTCTTCTTTTCAAAAACGAATTGCTTAAACGTTCAATTCATTTTTAGAAGGTTTTTAAATAAAAAAAAAATTTTTTAATGCAACTATATTGACTCATTTAGAATGGGTTGGGAGACAAAGGGATTGGGTTATTAATGGAAGTTGTTTAAGAATTTCTGGATTGTTTACTAGATTGGTGAAAGTTGCCTAAAGAAAAACTTATGTCTGCAAGGAGAGAAATGCATCGATGTTTGCAGCTGCCCAGGTCATAAATGCATCAGTAAGTTTTCGAGAAGTTTTTGGGAATTTTTTTATTTTCTAGACATTGAATTAAAGTTTTCTTTGTTTACCTTTATTTTTTCTGATCAAGACCAGCATAGAGGAGCCTTTTCAGGTGGACACAGCGAATTCGGATGTCATATAGGCAGAAGAGCGAGCCTTTACCCTAGACGACCTGTGATTTGTTGATACAGTAAAAAACTACTTGACATGTATGACACGAGGTAAATCCTAGTTTCGCTGCAATTTAAATTTTGACCAAAGTAACACTACTTATGAATTTTGAGAACTTCGACATTAAGCCCGTCTCCGTCGTCATTGCCCGTCGTCTTGACTCCATTTTTTACTAATCCTGGTCAGCGGAGCACGCGGAAAGATTAGAATTTGAAAAACGATTAGTTCGTCCTTTGCTTTACAAGTCTTCCAAGGACTGTTTTCGAAATTCAACATGTTATGACAATAGCTATGCTTGAAGAGATACGCTGAAAGTTAAGTTATTCAGAGTCATGTCCCTCACAGGGCTGTGGCAACGATTTGGCATGGGGGTGTGTCCGACAACCTCTTCGTTTTTGCCTTGCAGGGTGTTTTGTCGGAAAATTTTGAGCACTGTTGCAAATAAATTATGACTCTCCCACTTTGTCGGCAAATGGAACCTAAACACTCCCTTGAGCACAATATCTAGCGACAACCCTGGTCCCTAGAAACTCTTTCTGAAATTCACTTTCTACCTTTCCAGCTACCATTATACCGTTATACGTATACCGTTAGCACCCCTTCCCTCCTCTCACACTCCTCTCCCCCTCCTATCCCCTTCCTCTGCCTCTCCTCTCTCCTTCCTTTCACCCTCCTCTCCCCCTCCTCTCTCCTCTTCTCCCCTTCCTCTCTTCCTCCTCTCCCCCTCCTCTCCCCTTCCTCTCCCCTTCCTCTCCCTCTCCCCACAATATTTCACTGCTTTTATCGGGCCTGCCGTGACCTACTTCAGTATGCTTCTAAACAGTGGCTTGTAACTTCACTGTTGGTTCTAGCACAACCATAGCATATACTGTATTTTAGCTCTTTAATTGTTTCCCGGAAGTTTTCTTCTAGTCACCAGATCTTTTCCTTTTTATAGACCTGAATGCTTGCTCAGATTGGTACCGAAATGGAGCTAAATATAATGGCATATATCATGTGTTTGACTCTACGAATAAGACAAATAAAGTTTACTGCGACTTTGTTACTGATAGTAACTTTGCTTGGACACTTGTCATGTCTTCAGCACTGAAATATTATCCTATGTTCAGAGGTTATACTTTGAGGGACTCTTTGGGCCTGGCTAGCAAATTTCCAAATTGGGATCTTTACCGGTAAGTATACTTCATTATGCAAAGCTGACATTTTCTAAAAACTACAGTACTTTGCATTTTTCTACAAAAATCACTTGCCCCACCTTTCCACCGCAGAAAACCTTTGAGTTGAACAGATGTAATAATGGTAATGATAACAGTCATAATGATACAATAAAAATTTATTTTAAGTTTACAAAGACAATAGCGATAGACAATTACACAAAATTTCGCCATATGCCGCACATCTCTCTTAGATCTCGTCTATAAAATTTTTTATCTCATATAGATTCACAAGTTCTAGTTAAAAAATAGTCTACTTTCCATTTTTTTAACTTATTTATTGAATTCGTCTTTCAGATTGAAACTCATTTTTCCATTGCGATGCATCATTTAAAGCCATTTATGGGGGCAATAGCAAAGCTGATGGGACAGGAGATAAGTTTCCCTTTATGAGCAGCCAGAATGGTCATTTACTTTTTTCCTTTCCAATGCGATAATCTGTTGACTGCATCGCTCCCGGCATTTAAAAGGCTTGGCACTTATATATTTTCCAAAGATTTGATCCCCGCGTCTATTCTTCAAGTTAATCTGTAGCCTTTGTTTTAAGCCTTTTACATAAGATAAATTTCAATTTGTTCGATCGATCTACATCTGGGATCATTACTGTAATAAGGCAATCTAAATATTTCTTTCAAGCCTTCCGAAAGCATCCATGGTGAAACTAGCAGCCACATCAACTCACTGGCGAGCTACATGTAATTTCAAGCAACGCCAGAGTATTCATCGTGATTACGTCAGAGTCACTTTTGAAAACCTCAATCCTCTCACTTTCAATGGAAAAAGGGTTTGTACAGTTGTTGAGTATATCGATATTAGAGGAAACACGGCGCGCAATGCGGTAGTGCCATTTTGGCAATACAGTGAAGAGATCCTCCATACTGACAGTTGCTTTCGTGTCTGCAGTTTCGATGGAACACGTGGATGCAAAATCAACGAAGATAATTTTGGGTACTATGCTGTTACAAACAGAAACTTCACCTGTACGAGGGAACAAAACTCTACTACACAAATATGGTTTGGTGAGAAAGTATAAGCAATGAATAGTACATTTTGCTGACACATTAGGAAATATGACGTTAAAATAAACACGGCCTATTGCTACTCTTTACGTTTCTAAAAATAGAGTGCGAGAAGGCTCCAGTTGTAACTTAGCACGGTCAAACTTCAAATTACACTGTTGTAGTTCAATAAAGTCTTATGAAATTAAGGATAATAGAATGAATATGTTGTAAAATTGCTCCTTCGTCTAAAATAGGTGATGCGTGGTATGCATCAATTTTGACTGTGTGGCTTCTTCGTATATTTCCTGGTAGTCATTTAAAAATTTTTTAAAACTAAAAACGATCGCTCTACCTCAGTTGTGTGTAACTAAAACCCTCATGTCTTAAGCAGCATAAGAAATTAGAATTATTGCGGGATATTTGAAAAATTCGTATCTCTTTGCGCCTCCAAACAGCGAGGTGGAAAGCTTCCCGAAACTTGCATAGGTTGCCATCTAGACATGGCATGCTGCCTTTAAATGGGCTGCTATCTTAGCATGGCCCGCAATCTTTGAATGGGCTAATATCAAAGCATGGTCTGACATCTTTGAAAGGGCGGCCATTTTTGCAAACTCGGCAGTCACTGGTTTTGCGAATACCACAAATGTAAAGCAGGGTTACCAAAGACTAACAGGTACATTTCTTGTACTCAATAAATCTATCCAAGTTCATCTTTGCATCGCGTGCGATCTTCTTATTTTCTCTGCTCAAACGTTTTTCACTTTTTATCTGCAGGCATCAATCGAAAAGAAATGTGACACAAAAGGCAATATTTTTCGATAGTTTAATGATTATTAAGGTAAAACAGATATCACCAGTAAGTTTTACATCATTAAGTTTTACACTTGAACTTGATTGGGTAATCATAAAGATTCAATGAAAATTGGAGAATAGAAATGTTTTAAGATAATTTCGAATAGGACAAATATTGATTAATATTTTCTGTTCGTTTAATATTTAATATTTAATATTAAATAAATAAATAAATAAACAACCGGGTCACTTTAGATTTATGATGTCCCGGGTCACTTTAGATTTATGATCATGGCGAAGGGAGTTAAAAGGCATATCAGTAGGTACCATGTTTAGTTTAATGTGGTGTTGAATCCACATTTCAGCAGCCTCAAATAGTCAAAAGAAATGAGAACGAGGGTTCATGCTCCTTCGCAACTCCTCTCCCCCGCTCTTACGTCCCTTGACTCTCTGAGGCGCTAGTGGCAAGGATAGTAGAATCCTAGAAAAAAGCATCGAGACAGTCACAAACCTTTTGATCTATCCATGTAGCCACAAGGCAAAGCTGTCTGCCCATGCCACTTGCTGACAGGACGTGATCTGAAACGCCGTCTTCACCAAATGCATCGAAAACCGCATCCAAAGCCTCAACCACAATCATCAAGGGATTTTCCAGCTTTAGTTCTTGAAACAAAACAGTTGCAATTTGCTGAAAAACAAAACCATTCCAACAAAATCTCTTTCCCTGAATAGCAATTGCATTTTAAATCAAATAAGTAACCTCTGCAAAGTTGTAGTTTATTGCCAAATCTTAAGGTGGGCCAGATCTTAGATTATCTGTACAAAAAAACAAATAAAAAATTGAACCAACAATTCCAATTTTGGCGAAATTGATAAAAATACCATACTTTAAACAAAGCTACACACAAAGTAAAGCGTCAGAGATTTGCAAATTTTAGAGCATATTGAAAAGAATTTGAAAAAACAACAATTGAAAGGTCTTGGCAGTCTATAAACATGAGTTTAGAGAAGGTAAAGCATAACAAATCTCGATAGATTAAGCAAATCAACCTCTAAGTACACTTTTCCGTCTTCAATTTCTGAAAATATTTTCCCAACGGCTCCAAAGACCTTAAGCAAATTGAATCGAATTTGCAGATCCTTCGTTGACCGATACCAGCTTTCAACCATTTTCACTAAATTATTCTCGTTCTTTAAAAACTGCAAAGCAATGAAGCAGCAATGCAGTTGGGGATTGGATAAACAGAGGGTGGTTTCTAATGAAAAGCGACATTGGTATGTAATCACTTTCAACACATCTTAAGCAGATATTTCAATTAGTAACACGCATAGGTGGAAAATTACATAAAGTATGAATAACAACAAACAATGCCATAACCTAATGGCTTTCTTTTGCTGAGGCACCCCATTGCTTTACGAATCTACAGCTTGCTTCGGTCGGTGAAAAGGCGCTGATATTACATGAGAATACCACTGTAACTCCAACTTTTTGTTAAAGCACTACAAGAAAAAACCAGGTCGAAAACGTTTCGTGCAACTAGATCGGCTTATATACCTCCAAGGCCAAATCGGACGGTAGAACTTCTGATTATAACAATGAACAGTTTCCTTACTTTATGATAAAAGTTTGTCCCATTTAAGATTAGCTGCATGGATGGCACAACTCGAACAATAAGAAATTATAACAGCAATAAGAAAAATTTAAATGCCTTAAATTTAAACTTTTGGTATTGAAATATTAACGAAATTCTGTAAGTTTTTGGGTCATTAAACAACGATTAGGTTAAAAATTAAAAGATGCCACAAAAAAGAATGCGAATTGGAGAAAGGCTTACATTTTGGCACTTGGAGTCGGCAATGTGCAAAGTAATGGCTCTTAGGCAGGTGGTTAGCCCCAAAAGTAGATCACTTTCAGATGCTTCGAAATTAGCTATAAAAAAGATATCAAAATCAATAGCAAAAACCAAATTCAGATCAAATGTTTTTTAAGTGTTCGGATCAAAAATGAGCTTTCTGTTGAACATGTTTTTCTTTCAAATATCCGTTCGATGTTGTAAATTTCTGATTCCTAGAAATATCCCGATAAGAAGGTAAGAGAGGCATCTCCACGCAAATTGGATTGGTATGATATTGGTATGATAGACATTACCAAGTCACTTCTTAAAAATGGTAATAGCAGTAAGATTAGCAGATGCAAATATTGAAACACGAGAAATATCTTACCACATAGTCTTTCAGAAAAGTTTTTCCATATATTCTGTACGATTACATCATCAGACCACAAGCTGTTATCTATCATGTTTCCCAGGCAAAAAAGGGCCGACTTTTGAATCCGCACCAACCTGTGCAAGAAGGGACAAAGTGCATCAACATCGAAAGTCTAACAATTGATTTTAAAGTTCAAGGAAAAACAACGTGAAATGTCGAAATAGATTTAGCAAAATATTGATAACAACAAAAATATATATACACACAAAAGTTGCAATAACTCAATTCTCTCAATAATCTACACGAGAATCTCGGGTGCCTTAGCAAAAATCATGCAGGCACTTCGGTTCCAGTGTATTCCAAGAACACGGAATGTAGCTTACAATCGAAATTGACAAGGTGAATTTTATGAATAGAAACTTTACTGTGAAGATGAAAGTGTGCTTACGATTGGTACAAGCAATTTGTTTCTGTCCTCTCCTTTAACAAAATCATTTCTGGTTGATCAGCGTATTGCGTGCAGAAGAAAACCTGATTATGTAATAAAAAAGGAAAGAGTTGTAAAATACAACGGATAAAATATATCAGCATCTTTTGAAACACAGCAGTGTCTTTTGTTGGTTTTATTTTTGCAAAAACCAGTGTAACTTTTTGTTTTATGAAAGAAGTGAAAGAAAAAGCTGAAAAATAATCTTTATCTTAAAATTCTCACCCACTACTGTTAACACTGTTGCATACAGACAGTACTCATAAAGTTACCTTCTCTGCCAATGCCTTCGACAAAATTAACCGCTTAACACAATTCCAGTAAGTGCTTGGTTCCTAATAAATTGAAACGATATATTTCACGTTTATGACATAAAATTTGAAGAGATGATTAAGTGATGAAGCTTAACCTGTAAGGATTAAAGATCTGTTTTACAATGAATTTCACAAAATAATACTTCATAATTTATCAGCGAATAAGTATTGAAAATGTCCTTTAAAGCATTAATCAATTGATCAACAAAAGACTGGCACGCAAGCACTTGTTTATGAAGAATTCAAAGCACTCAAGGGATAAATGTCTTTCACAAGTGAATTGCCTTGAAGGTGAACTGACATGCAAAACTTTTTTTGATATCATGCAGAAAACGATGCATGGAAGCTTAATTTCAAGGTTTCGGTTAAATTCTGTTTTAAATGTCATGAAAATAAAGACGAGTGCTCGATCATTGTCGGCATTTTATGTGACCCAGCGCGCGTGACCTCACACACACTATGTTTTTATTCCTTCGATGCAAATAACGCATGAACTGGTCAGTTCAGTTCATCTAGATCAGTTACTATTTCAGGAGATCTACGTAGCCTTTGATCCAAGATAGATAAAAATTCGATGCTAATGAAGTGTACAAAGGATATGTGCTGGCTGGCGCTGCGTTATGATGGGAGGGAATTCAAGTTTTCAAAGAATAGGCACTTTTAGCTTCTCGAAGAAATACACAATTCTGAAATTAATAATGCAAACGAATTTTGGAATTTTTCTTATTTTACCATGAATCTACTTTTTTTTCGAATAAATCCAAAAATGTTTTACTTTGATATATTAATTCTACATCCAAATAAATCATGAACGTTATTTTGGGTTTGAAACTCATCGGTTCACCCGAGCTACAGGGGTGCAGTGGACTGGGAGTTGAAATTTTTACGAAGTTGTTTTCCTGCAAATAACGACTCGATCGTACTAGGATCTTAACCTCTAAAAATCTTTCATGTGATTGAATATGAATTTGCCGAAAAAGAGTGACTTGAATTCGAAATCTTTACAGCACAGTATATTGAAGTTAATCGGGATAGGTTTCCAGAAAATAAGAAAAAATTCATCGTGAACAATCTATTTGATCACACGAAGGCGTCGTTTTATACTGTATCACTTACGAAGACATCCAGTGCTGAGAATTACAATTAATTACCATTCCTTCTTCTAATCCTGCCAATATATCTTTATTTGATATGGGGACCGTCACACAATGTGTCCTTCGAGACGGAGGAAGGGCTTCAAACGATATTCTTGCAAATCTTATTGTGAAAAATTTGCAAAAGAGTCATAATCTATTTTCCAATCATTTTGTCGATATAAAGCCAAAACCTACTCGATCAATGTATTGATTCTCTTCTACAAAATCATAAAAGTACGGCCTTCCAGACTGTCGTGCTGTTCAAGTGATCTAAACATGGTGTTTGTGACGTCATATGTTGCGGAAGGCTCAGGCATACTCGTACGTGCTCGGGAAATGTTTGGTGGCTAACTTTGACGCTCAATAACTCGAAAACTATGCTGAATATGAAAAACTGATAATGTATCAGGTACTTGTGTATCAGGTACTTGTGTTTGACAAGCTTTCATTTGAGGTCAAGTTAATTTTGCGTGTCAGTTCACCATTAAATCCTAGGCAAAAAAGAATTTGGGAAATTTCTGACTAACATAGAATTAAAAACAAAAATTATGTATTCTTATTTATCAATTCAAATTGACCGTACTCAACCAAATGAAACTATAAAATAAACATTACGGAATCGTTTTGATCCTCTTTTGAATCAAAATAATCCGGGTCATCATCGGATATCTCCATCTCATCTTCGCCATCTAGAATAAAAGGTTTTGCAACATTCAGTAAGAAGAGGGGACTGCCTAGCAGGGACGAGAGAGTTTGCGAGATACAAAAATACGAACGAACGAATCATATGGGAATTTGCTAACCATCAGGAAAGACAATATTCGCGAGGACTTCCATACTAGTTTGTTTTGCTGACAGCAGAAATGTGCAGTCTTCCACCTAAAAACGAAAATAATTCAAAAAGTGCCAAGAAAAATGTCACAGAATGGCATGAAAAATTGCTTTCTACCAAATTAGAAGTGAACAATCACAAACAAGTGATGGAGCGCCGACATTTTTGTACCTTTTGTCCACAGCATGACTCTGATCTGCAACATGCTATCAGAGCCAAAGGCAAATGGTATCTCTGGGACAAAAGGAAATAAAACAATAATAAAGAAAAGTAGAAGAACCACTTGGTGAGATATACGAACTTCCCGTCGCTTACAATGAAACCCTTTAACGGTTGTTCCTACGACAAACAATTTGTGGCAGCAGCGCGTAGCACTTACCATGGCATTATTAAAAGTGCTAGAGACGATGTCCTTCAGCGGTTGCTGACAGTCGGCCTGCAGAATGCCGTCGATGGTCTGCAGCACAAGATCTAGAACATGCATCCATCGAACATCTTGCAGCTTCTTCCGCACGTTTAATAACACGCCTATAGAGAGAAGAGCAGCAGGCTCAATGCTACTATTGAATGTGCTTCTTCTAAAGGTGTTTGCATAGCAGAAATCATTATCTGAGAGTAGAATAAAACTCCCAGAAGTACTTAAAGGTAATCAATGTTAAAGGGTTTCGACCCCAATTTTCACACAATAGTATAAGGATGAAATGGTTCATGTTTATTGGTTAAGAATGAGTGAGAGTTATATGAGTGTTTGTACAATATTGGCAAAAAAATTCTTAATTTGCAAGCGAACATGTATTTTCTGTGAAAGGACAGCTCCTACAAAGGACTATTGTATAATTCACTCCAAATATAACAATAAAAACTGATTATGAAAACTATCCAAAATAATATGAGATTTTAAGCAAAGATATCCATTGAAATTTCACTAAAATGAGAGACACGGAGATTCAATATATTTTTAAATCAAAGATCATGTATGAAAATGTTTCTCCGCCATTCCCCGCTAGATCCCAAGAAAGCAACTTTTTAGAGCATCTTTGATATATTGGCTGCGGAGATGCTGAAAACTGCAAATACATTTTCGGCTGAACAAGCCTACAAGAATTGTTCTTGTGCGATTTTGGCTATAATGGAATTGACTTCCCCTTTTCCCTTTTCCCTTTTCCCTTTTTCCCTTTTTCCCCTTTTCCCCTTTTCCCCCTTTCCCCTTTTCCCCTTTTCCCCCTTTCCCCTTTTCCCCTTTTCCCCCTTTCCCCTTTTCCTCTATTCTGTGGCAGGATGCGCAAAAACCAAGTTGCATTTGCAACTATGACCTTGCTTGACAAAAGGGGTAAGGGTTTGAGTCAATTCTGCACCTTGAGTTTGCTATTCTGTGTCCATGAATTTTCCCATAAAATTTGTAGCTATGATAAGAAATCTTCCGATATGCTTTGCAAAATAGAAATGAGAAAAAGACGATATTCTCCATTCGGAGGATGGAGTCTTTATTAATTCTTTCTACCACTCGTGCTGCTTGGTTTTAAACTTTAAACTATATAGTTTTGATTAAGACTAACAGCATTTGTCGATACGTGTTGTTTAACATAATGAAAGAAAATCACATTTTTAATAAAATTTCCAACTTCCGGCCGATCACCAAAAAATTTAATTCGAATGTTTTTTCTTCACTTAAGATAAATAGGTTTTTAGCTGTTTTTCAGAAACCAACAATGAAAAATAGACAACTGTAAATGATTAATATCACTTAAACAAGTTTAACTTTTTGGTTACCTGATATTGTTGCTGCAAGGAGCCAGTGCATGTTTGTCTCTTTGACGCTGACCAAAATTTGCACCATTTTATCCAGACAAGATTGATCATTTGCAAGGTAGTTCAATGCCTCGTCATTTTCCTCTGTTACCGTAGCAAAACATTGAGCTAAGAAGGAAGTCGGCTAAGTCAAAAATCGACTTTCAAACGAGATTCAAAATAACTAAGATTTTTGTTGCCAATTTACTTAAATTCGATATGAACTATAGCTAGCAATATAAACGTATATCTACAAGGTTGACAAGGTTAGCTTGATACATTTACACATTTAACTTTCTGCATAGCTACAATTCAGTACATTGATTTATGATGAATACTAAGTTAAAGATTAATTTGTATTGACTGGCAGAAACTGACAGGCACTACATTTGCAATTTGGTCCGTCCCATTATTTTATTAGATTCTTAAAACTTTTTAAATGGTTCTAAATGTTGTTTGATTAAGTCTAACATGGCTAAGTTATCTGGATTTCTTGATAAATAATTTGATGAACGTAATTGAAAATACTGTGCATAAAAGTGGATTCAATTGTTTTACTGTTTTAAATATTTGAATGTTTGACGAGCAACAAGCATTGTGCATTTGCCTGACTTCAGAAGCGGATCTCTATACGAACTTCCATGATCATTATAGAGAAATCTTAGAGCGCGTTCTTGTAACTGTTTACTTTTCTTTAATAGTTTAAATGAAATAGAAATTAATCATTTAGGCAAATATTAACAGGATTGGTCCTAGTACAGAGCCCTGGGGTACACCAGTCAAATCCTCCGGCAAAGATCTAAATAAATTATTCCTCCGAACACATTGTTTCCTAATTTTGAGATAGAAATAAATAAAACTAGAGCATCTTCATTAAATCTATATGCATGTAGATTGGCGATAAGCAAATCATGTGATATACAATCGAAAGCTTTCGAAAGATCCATTAGGACTGCACCGACGACATAGTCATTGTCAAGGCTAGTCTTCCAGTCTTCTATCAAACGTATCAAAACATGTTGGGTCGCATACGCTTGTCGATACGCAGCAATGAAGACTGAAAGCGTGTAATCTAAATGTCGAGCCAGTTGACTTTTTAAGACTTTTTCATATCTTTGAAAAGGTATTACCACACTAACTGAGCGGAAATTTCTTTTGCAATGTGCGATTGGATTCCCCCTTATCTAATAGGCAAATTGCCACTTTTTTGCATCGTTTTGGAAACGGAGTTACAGATGCTACAGTTCAATGCCGTAGTTAAAGTATTTGTAAGCTCACTTGCAGCTAGGAATACAAGATTCAGGGGAGCTAGATCTTCACCAGTAGATTTCCTGCCACCTGAGGATTTTATTTGTACAACTTCTTGACTGTCTATCTCTTGAAAAGTGAAGGTAGCCAGGACTTGCTCTAGGCTTTGAAGAATAGCTTGGAAACTAGGATAGCTTGGACTTCAAGAATCAAGCGAACGGTTTGGCGGTCGTCAGAAATTCCAGAATTTTTCGCAACACTAATTGGCTTCTTACCGCTGGATTACTCTACTGTATATTTGTATAATGATCATTGAAAATTACTGCAAAATCTTGGTCATCTGTTGTAGAGGTTTAATTTTTCACAAGAGAAATATCACTGCTCATAGGTCCTCCTTTATTTGGAGAAAGTATTCAACAAAATCCCAGAAATATTTATTAGATGTATTGCCATTTCTAGCTGCTTCTGATTTATAGGTTTTTAGTTGCCTTCCTTCTTCATAAGACACATTTATTTCATTACTTCTTGAAATTAGTTATATTTTCTGCGGTAGTGTTCTTATTTAATCTTTTCAAGCCTTGACCTAGAATAGATTGCCTTTTGTAACTGCTGGTTCATGAAAGGAGCAGTATTTCCCCTCTGAACTTTAGTTTTAAAAGGAGAATGTTTATCTACAGGTTTTCGGGATGTAGATGAAAGATTCTTGTATGCCAAATCAGCATAATTTAAATCGGGGTTTGAGACGGGGTATGTGTGTTTCAATCAAAGTTTGAACAAGGCAAAAAATATCGCTCAAACCAGTTCCAAAAAAGGTGTCTTTTAAAAAAACCTATATTTATTTGTCAATATGACGTCAATTGATGAACTATGATATTTTTGTAAAACATGTCTTGGTCTTTACTAAATTTGACAGTCCAAAAACATCACAGAAAGTGATTGATCTAGCGTACCCGGCGTGCTGAGTTTCATTTAGTTCCAGGTTTGAAGCTTCTGGGGTCGGTAAATGCTAAAAGTTACCCACCTCATTTTGCAAACAATCAGATCGAAACACATTATCTCGACAGTTGGAGTCTCTAACGTAGAAACTCTTTGCAAAGAACCCATTTCCAAACAAATTGCATTAAATCCCCATCAAATTCATCCCTATCTTGACGGATTGGTTTTGGTAATTATTTATTAGAATGATTTCAGTTTTGAAATCTGAACTTAGTTTTGTTCCCTCTATTACCAAATTATCTTTCAAAAACAGGTCAATCATTTGTTTTGAAGGCTGCTAATATTTAAGAAGACATGCAGACTCCATAAAGAAATAAGGTTTGGGAATGAGTGACAACATGGCTATGTAAATCATCAAAAGACTCTCAGAATAAAGTGTTTTCCCACTTATCTTACAAACACGGTTCTATCTCCTTGTTAATTTTATTAGTTTTTATTCCATTTGATCTTCTTTTGAGACAATATACAATAATCTGACTTTCCAATTTGAACAGTTTTGATCAGTTCAATGACTGTTCATTCTATCTGGCTCATGATTGGCATTATGTGTTATGTTTTAGCTGTTTGTGCAACTGAATTTGATACCAAAGTTTCCATAAAATACTTACCAACAGATAGAGTGAGATCATGTTTAGCTCTTTCCATCATGAACAAAGCAATCAATGATGGCATCAACTTCACCTCATTGAAAAGCTTCATTGCTTCATCAGAAGCCTCACTGTAAAGCAACAAAATAAAATTTTCAAATGACTTAAAAATAAGAATAACAAGTCAACTTTTGTTTCCATGATTATACACTCTGCTCACAAAAGTATCCGGCAGTTCAAAGATAGATTGTGCTTTCAGACGGAAACAAATTTAGGCTGGCAATAACAACATTTTAACTTAGTGATAATAATTTTTTGAGAAACCCTTCCAAAATAAACTAAGCCATTAAAATGTTGCAAAACCTCAGAGCTTTTTACCTGTTATCATTTCTTGTTAAAATAAGAAACTTTTGCGCTACAAGCCTTACGCAAATAAAATGATGTCAAAAAAGTGAAGCACAGCAAAAGTCAAGTGACTTACTTCAAATGGGCCAATAAAACCTGGTCATTGTTTACAAACTGGTTTTTGAGACACAAATAATTTTGAATAAAGAGAAAAACAACATGTTCACTCTTAGCTGGGAAAAATATTTGCATGGAGATGCCACCGTTTGATTACAGTACATGCATAACATTTGGTATCATTTCAGCAAATCTAAAACTTTCATTCAGTGCAGAGCAATAAAGTCACAATGTTTCTTTAATGTTGCGAGTCTTGCTTAAATTGGTCGATATGAGGGTACATTTACAATTCTTTGTCATTTTTCTTGCAATACTTACCGACAGCTTTTAAAAGTTCAATTGTTTGTGAATATTTAATGCAATTTTGCCTAATGACCCAAACCAGTTTTGATGCAAATTCGCAACTAAATTTGAAACTGTCCGGACACTTTTATGTATGTACTAGCAACAATAAATGAAAAGCAATATCAATTTAAATTGCTAAACATTACAAAAAAATTTCTGGGATGTGACATGAAAAGAAAATCATATATGACTAGACCAATAAATAATATTTTAGTAACTTTCATATGATCCACAGAAACAGAAACATTAACAAATAATGTAGTTAATCAAACCCACAACATGCAGTCAGTTCTCACCACAAAAGTTGAGTCAAACTACACTTTGCACTTTTAATGTGCAAGAATTACTTCAATGTGCAGGAGGCACTTTTTGGAGTTACATAAGAGTGGCTGATATGACATATATTAACAAAGGTGATTGGAATTTGATGTTTTATGTCACTTTAGAGAAAAAAACCTACCATAAGTTACACAAAAGTGCCAACAGCTGATTCATTGAACTTACAACTTGGGTAATAATTTCCTCTTTGTCCTGGGAAAGTGACTGAGCCAGTTGGATGTCCTGAGAGCATATAACAAATTAAATACTGTATATAATGATACTATATAATGTAATATAAGATACACTTGGGATAGAAAAATATCAGATTACCATATATCTAACATTTCATAATATAAAATGTAAACCACAGCATACTGTATGAACTTGTTCTAGTCACCTGCTCACATAGCAGTTATTTGGTGTGCATTGGAACAACGATCAATAAACCATCCATCAACTAGTGTGCTGTTTCCAACTCAGCCAGACTTATTTAATGCATGGAGAACAAGGAGCCAGTTTATTATCTGTATAATTCGGATCTGAACAAAAATTGCTTACAAATTAACATACTTATTTACAGAAATGCATATCTAAAATTAACAAAGTTGCCATCAAGAGCGTGTTTACAATATGTTGTTTCTAAAAAGAGGATAAAAATGACAGGAGGGTCCTGATAAGAAGGGAGGAACAGAGAAGGACCAAAGCCTACACAGCATGAGGCATTGAAGAGAAAGATAAAATTGGAATTAGAGTTTTGGGAAGGGGTGAAAGAGATGAGGTTAGCAGTCTTGAAATGAGATGTAAGTAGCTGTGACCAAGAGAAAGAGATAAAGTGGCACTTTAGAGGCCTAATGTGCCACTTCTTGCAATGTGCCACGAAGTGCAAGAAGGGCAGGTAACAAGTAATTAATATGGTATTGAATATTGAATGCAATCACATATCAATTATAAAGTCCTTACCAAAATTGACTTCATATAGATTTTTAGCTAAAACAAGATGTATACACACCTCCTTTAATGCAATGCTAATCTGACTCAAAAGTCCATCTTTGACCAAACGCAAACATGTATCCATTCCACCAGTTGTGCTTAGATTTCTAAGAGCATATAGAAGAACATTTAATAACTGAATTGAACAAAAAGATATAGCTAAAAATACTATTAGCTAGCTATAGCTATGCCTAAACCATGTTCAGATGTAAGTTCTTAATTCACCTGGTTTTCAGATTACTTGGTGTCTAGTCAGCCGGGAAAAAGAGAAAACATGAAAATGCATGCTGAGGAAGTAACTTTGCCAATAAATATTAAGTCATTTAATTTAAAACTTACCGAAAAACGCCAGCAGCCATTTCCTGAATTTTAAGATTTTTGTGGGCAAGGAGATTGGACAATTTCTTTCCAATACCCAAGGACAATAGTTCTGTGACAGCCTTTTTGTCTGTAGCTAAATTAGCTAGTGATGCCAGAGGACTGAGATTTTCTTCATTATTGAAAAGGTTGCATGCCTAAAAATACAATTGGCAAATCAATCATTTCAATATTACAGTAACAACTGCACTAACCGTAGTAGCCTTGTATGACTCCTCTTCACTTCTCATTCCAACAGAACAAGATCAAAATTTAACCTGTAATTGTAATTTTATGACCTACATAGGTAATTGGTTTTCACTAACCGTTTCCAAAATACGGCCGAGATAGCTTTGTTTTTTGGAATCCATGTCAAAAGCTGTGTTGTTCTCTTCGCATGTTTCGTGGTTTGTTTTTCTTCTCTTTCTTGATCTCTCGTCATTAAGGGACATTTTTCATCAACGTCCACAATGTGGACTCCACATAGCAAGTAAAGACAACTCTCAGAAATATAATCGAACAAGGCCTAACTGGGGCACGTGCTTGTTGTTGTTGTTGCTGTATTTGTTCCTGCAAACTCCCCAGGAGACTCCCTTGTCAAACGAGGCACCATTGCAACCGATTTCCCAATTTCAACTTTCAAGACAATCCTAGATATATGACATTCGACAAACTACACTCCAAATCGTAGTTTGGAAACCGTTGAAGGCAGTTCAAGTGTTCAAGTCGTGGCAGTTAGTTTCAAAAATCTGTGTGATGTGTGTTGATTTGATTTTGAACTTAGAGAAGGAAGATTGTTTGGGGACGTTTTTATCGAAAGATGACGATTGCTTGGTTATGCGTGCCGTTTCCTTTTATTCCCTTCGAGCAAGAAGCTCGCCCTAGTGCTTACACTATTTGATGCTATTACATTGATGCCTGGTGTGAGTAAATTGCGACCTTCTTTATGCAGAGACTCAACGTAACAGGAACTTTCTAAACAGAAACCCCATTAAACAGAAAATGTTTACAAGGCGAAAGATGGGTTTCCAATCTACTACTGCTGGTTCTATTTCAATCGAAGGGTTTGATGGACACTTAGCAAAGTTTTCCAGTAATTGCCCAACATTTTTAACAGTCATGGCCTATCGAAGATCAGCTTGCGGAGCTGCATACTACAGGCGTTCAAAAGGTTCACACCCCAATCACCACTCTGGACTTGCAAACTGACAAAAATGCGCTGAGTGAACAATTTCAAATAAATGTTTGACGAAATAGTGATCTTGATGTTATGTCAAGCAAGGCCAAGACGATATTGCTCCAGTTTGTTTGATTTTTTGCATTGCTTTCTTCTAATAAATGAAAATAAGAGGATTTTCTCTCAAATTTTTCAATTGTGGGGGGTCTGATAAGGAGGAGGTTGGCATTTTTCTAAAAATGGGGGGTCATAATGGATTGAAATGCTTACATTTTCCAAAATTATGTTTAAATAAGGGGGTGTTTAAATAGAAATTTTGCATGAAATAAATAATTAGGTGGTGTTATTTAATGGAAATGGGAAAGAACATTTTCTGAAAAATGGAGTTTACACCCCCTCCCCCTACCCTCTCTCTACAATTAGGAACTTTAGAGTAGTTTTTTGGGAGTAGCAGTATTGCGCCTACAGGATGATAGGAAGCGATTGCTTGTGGCACATTCACAACCTTTGTTGCATGAAATTGAAAAAATTCCAACTATCAGTGTCCTATCAGTCAATATTGAAAGTTTCAAACAATAAAACTCAAACTCAAACCCAAACTTACATTTTTTATATTTGTAAATTTGAAGAAAAAAAATTAATAAAAAAAGATTAAGAAAAACAATATTAGATTTACTTGATTAGCTGATGGACACATGGAAAGACAGAGCTATCAAAGCCATGTGCTCAGGTGTGTACAATATATTTACTGGTTCCGCGGTACAGATTCCAACTTTCAAAGATATTTCAAATAACATAACATTTCATCAATCAAAATCACTACTACACTTCAACAACTCACAACCAATCTGAATAAAATAGTTTAAACACTCCCTTATGTTACAACTAGTGAATGTATCTATGGTTATCAAAATAAACAAACACACCTTAGTTAGTATTGGGAATACAATCAAAATGAAATAATTTGAGTAAATATAATACACGCTAAATTTCCCACGGCATAATATAAAAGAACTGTAAACGCATTATGGTAAATTATTCTCTAGTCAGTTATAAAACAGATATGCGCAGTTACATAAACATACGCAGTAACAGCAAACTTACACAACAAGGTGTTGTGATTGGACGATATAAATATATTACAATTTTTTTAGTTTAAATAATAACAGTAAGAATCAGCAAAGGTTAAATACCAGCTGTAAGTTTTAAAGTAACTCAAAAGCAAAATAAAATAAGATAAAATAAAAGAAACTGAAAAAGGGTTTATAGTACGTACGATTATTGGCATCAAGCTCAATTAGGTTATGACTCTAAGTAATGGACTCTAAAAGGTGATTTTTCCATTTTATTTATGGAGGATATTTTGTTTTTAGCATTTTTTAGATCTAATGGCAAAGAGTTCCAAACTTTGATATCATTAATTAAATGTAAGAAAATTTCTCTTAAAATTTGTAGAAATCGTTTGCAAAGAGAAACCGAGGCAGGAAGACTGTCTTGTATTGTAGTGATGAATATTTTTTGTCTTTAGAAATTCTTGTCCTAAGTTAGTGTAGTTATTTTTTTTATCGATTTTAAACATGAATTTCGTTGTTTCAAGCTTGTAGAGTTTGTCAAAGTTCAAGAGTTTTAGACATTGAAAAATTGGGTGACTTTGTGCTGTGAACGGAGCAAACTCAGCTACTCTGATAGCTTTTGGTAAGCTGCGTTTTAGAGATTTTCTACAGGGAAGGGACACAGAGCATAACAAGCTCCTTTTCCAGTTGTTGAGACGTGTAGGAGGTATGAACTGCTCCTTGTCAAGTCGCAGGCTTATGGGTCAATTTACCTAGATGATGGTTGCTAAACGTTTTGCAAGAGCCGAAGCCAATTCTCTGCCTATATACACAATCAATTCATTATAAAACCATTGGTTGTTTTTTCAAAGCACAGCTTGCAAAACAATAAAACTTGGAATAATTCGGCGGTCTAATTCTGTCAGATCTGTACCATAGTTCTATCGAGTGAATTTGTTCAAGTGTTAGTTGTAGCTTTATACGAAATTCTAAGTTATCATGCTTAGATACATCAAAGAGAAGTTCCTTTGTGATATATGAGGCCCACAATAGCATTTAAATGCCAATTGAACCATTTTTTAATCAAATCCATTTTATTTACATAAAGGATGTATATTATCCTTTTTCAAATAAACTTTGAATGTACCTGGTAGGTGTTTATGCAAAAGTTTTTGCTGCACTCTGCAATATATGCATTCTGCAATGAATGAAAAAATGTCTTGTAGAGGTGGTCTTTTGAACTTTCCTAAACTGTATAGTTTCCCGTTCCATGAAAGTTTGAGTGCAGATCATCAGATTCAAATTAACGTCTCGCTCACATTTAGCAGTACTGCACCTTTTAGTGTCTCCCCATCCAGCTTTGCTCTTATTCCCAGAATAGAATGATTAGAAAATCTATAACAGAAAAACCGAATCTGTTTCTCACTACAGCGCAGTTAATTAAGCCTTTAGACCACACTGATGTATCTAATGCCTTCATACTTTTAATGACCTCAATATTACTGAAAATTGATTGAGTTGATTCTTAATGATTTCCTTTTCAAGATGAACAATCAATAAAAGGAACTCTAAACTAAGCATGACCAACTTACATATAAATTTAATCTAAAATGCAAAATTATTTTATATCTTCATATGACATTGATCACCTTCATACTCACTGGAGCATCGAGAGAGAGATACATTGAGAATCTAAATCAATTAATTTGTAAAAATTTCTTGAAATATTGTATTAGCATCTAGTATTATATCAACTTTATGAAGCGTCATGTCACTCTTTCCTTGAGCAAAAAGTTCAACACTGCAGCCGAAAATTTCTTAGAAGCACAGCGCCGTTACGCTGCGTTTTCCCTCTACTTCACCACTTTGGGATGTAATCAGAAACGTAGCTACTATTACTCTTGAAGGGCCTCGTGCTCCCAAAAATTATGAAAATCTACCTATTGTAATCTTTTGTTTCCAATGAATAATCCCTTTTGCTCCTATCCTTCCTACGGCATTGGATATAGTAGGCGCTCTTGATAATGAGATTTATGCTCAACTTTTTCTATAATATGAATCCTAATATGAATCCATACAATCTTAAAAGCAGTATTATTTTCTATAAATCAATTTTTTTTAAATATAACAATTTTTTAAATAAAACGTTTTTTTTTGGATAATTATAAAAGACGGTTTCCTTAAGCGAACCTCGTTTCCGCTATGTTGCGCCTTCGGTGCTTCCATCGCTATCGAGTAGTTGCATAAGGAGGCAAAATGGCGACTGGACTACTGAAAAGGCTATGTAGGTCGTTTGCGCCCGAAATAGCGGTAGGTTGCCCTATAGAATTAATTGTTTTACATACAACACCACAACATATTTAAATTTTTTCTTTTAGTAGGAATGAATGGCAAAAAGTCTGTTATAAACGAAGAGATGGTAAAGGGAAATGATGGCTCAGCTCAGAAAATTCCGTAGTTGCAAGTTAGAACCATCCTACGAAGTACAAACCGAAGCATTAAATAACACAAACTTTAGCTTGCTGAACTGCTTCTTCCAGTATTTTTTCCTGAGATGCATCTTTAAAAATGCCCGGCAATACGTCAATTTGCTTTGCCATGCAAGGCATGCGGGAGGTAGATAGCTAACCACCAATCTGTTCATATCTGATGCCCCTAAACAAGGCGTGACATGGGTGTGTCCCAAAGGCTAGGGCAAATGAAGGTTTTACGTTCCCTCAAATTCAATATATTTTTGCATTGATTCGATAACAAAATAGCCACCAATCATGCCCATTTTCATACTTTGCCCATATTTCCTTCTTAATCCATATTCTGAGGACCTAACATTGTTGAGTGTACTATTGTGCCAGTCTGCAGAGTATGGCATGTGCACACCGGAGATATTTTTGTGCAAAACCTGTTGCACACCTGGTATTTTTGGGTGTGGCAACTAAGATGGGTGTGGCTTGGTGTGGTCCCATAGAAAATGTCAGCTGATAAAAACAAGCACAGTTGTGTATGAACAATTTGAGATATCATGAATCTTACTTGACAAACATACAAATAAAAACTTGCGCTGTCTTCAACAGTATACTTCACACGCATTTTTACGGTGAAATGCAAATTCACAAATTTTAACCACAACAGGGGAAAATAGTCGGTGCACACCAGCACACCAGACATTTTTGGTGGTGCAAACCGGCACACCAGGCTTTTTGCTCGTGCACACCGGAGATCTCGTCGAAAAGTGCCATACTCTGCAGACCGGCTATTGTGCACAATTAAAGTGCACACTTAACCAAAGTGCACACTTGAAGTTTTGCCCTTGCACACCCAAAAACGTATGGAAAATGCCGTACTCTGCAGTTGGGTCCCCAAATAAATGGTCAATTTCTGTTTTGACTTGGCCCAAAAAATTTTATTAACAATCCTGTTCAGTAGTTTATTCCAAATGTTGGCAATCCCATACTAGACTGGGAACTTTGTTTCTTGCGTGGACAAGTTTACTTTGAAAATGTGAGACTTTGCATTGAGATAACACATTATTAGCTATTTTTAGACTTAATAACGGAACATATCATTAGCTGTGGATTTTGCGTGATCAGTATGCAAAAGCACACAGATGTGTGAGCAGGCAATATACTGGATCCCATAAGAAATATTTCTCCAACAGCTGTTGGGATACCTGTTCACAGCTTTTTATTATGATGTCCACATCATAATTCTATTTCATTTTATTTCATCTATATCAAATTCACAAATAGAAGATTCTATTTAGGTGGCTTTCATACCTCACTGTAAAGATTCACAGTTTTTTAAAACTCTAAAAGGTATTGCAAAATTAAAACCGTCCCTGAATGGAATTCTGAATTCCATAATGCAGTTGTAATCATTAAAGACATTTTTGGAACAAATCATTAAAAACATTCAGAACAAATGATCAGAAAATTGACAATTCTGCAATAGTGCTTGGTAAGAAAATTGTTCATGTTTAACAGTACTGAAGAGAAAAACTGTCAGAAATGGACTTTTGAATAGTTTTTCTTAAACCTGATCGGGGGCCATAGAAAAGAGTCTTGTATCTTTGACATTTGAAATTTCATTAACAATTCTAAAAGCAAGGATTCTACATCTCTCCACAGCATTTCAATAGTCATTTTTTTGCATATATCCAGTAGTTGTGTCAAATGTATTAAATCTTTTAAATATTTTCTTTATTTGCTCATTGTAACAACAGTTTTGAATGGTTTCAAAAAGTTATGAACATGAATCAACAAATATATATCAATAAAGTTTACCCTGGTTACAATAATGTAAAGCACATGCTTTCTTTTACTTTCTAAATGAAGGTACAAAACTGTTTTCTGGCAAGTCAGGTGGTTTTTGTTGAGTTTTACTGTATTTCCAATGTGTCACTGGTCTTTACTATAGTCTGAAGCAGAGAATGGTCTTTTAAAGATAGCTGTTGTATGTTTTTTAAACATTCTTTTTTAGATCCTTAGATCAAGGAGCATCCACTCTACACAAGTTGCATGCTCTGACAAATTGTTTGTGGTAAGCTATTTTTAACCTTGGCAGCCCCTTGCATCTTTAAAAGGAAAAGCTACACTTTCCTTCATATTGTTATATTCTGTCTTTATTGAAGCAATGGTTGCTTTTTGGCAGTTTTGTTTTTTGATGCAAGTTTGTGTTTAAATATGAATTATAAAAATCCTGTTGAAGGCAAATCACAAAGCATAATTTGAACATTTGGTCAAATAGTGTCCTTTGCTAATGAGCATCCTCTGCTTTGAACATAAAGGCCTTCAAGTTATTGGGAGTTGGATGGAATTCCATGTTTTTCTTGTATATCTCTGTTGTTTAGTTGTAGGGGCTCAAACAAGGCACAAATTGTGACACCAGTTTATGATACCCTGGGTGAATTGTGTACTTAGCAATCGAAGAAGCTTAATTATGCTTGAATAAACAGTAATCAACTGCCCCTGCTAACACACAACCACAGCTGTGTGTGATATCATGTAAAACGTTTTAATCATTGCAAATTACTATGTTTAGCACCTACACAAGTGGCTAATGATATGATTGTTATATCATATATTAATATGTTAATTGTTATAGCACAGAATATTAAGTTAGCTCCTTTCCCTCTTCCAGTTTATAGGGTGACATTTGAGTTTTTCATAAACATTTTTGTTTAACAGTTCTCTTTATTCTGTATTTCTTGAAATTAATGCTGTTTCGTTATAGCATAGAGATTCACCTGATAATAACAAAGATGTCACATTTGACTTCACTGACGAAAACAAAAAGGTGAGGAAACCAGATTTTTCTTATCCTTTGCCCTACAAAGTTGATAATGTTCGACAATAACACAAGTGTGATCTTTTTACTTTGATGTCTAGCCAAAGGTTCGATTTTATTAAGTTTGATGTTTCCGTATTTAGAATTTACACAGTGTATGTGCTGGTTTTCTATCTTGAAGATTTTGTCTGTTTTTTCGAAGCGTGCAAAAACGATAATCAGTATTTACCCAGAAGGCCATCAGGCAGCCGCTGTCATTCCACTTCTTGATTTGGCTCAAAGACAGCTTGGTGAGACATTTTTATTGAATAGATGCACTTACCATTTTTCAGCATGTTGCTTGCCACCGTTTCTGACCTTCTAAACCGCCTAACTGAAAAGGACTTTCCGCACACTACGCTCAGTAAACCAACTTCTGGCAATATATATTGCTTGAAAAATCCTTGAAAAATTATAAGATAACTGAGTATGCTGGAATGTTAAATGAGCTTTTTGAAATACCAAATTTTTCGATTCGATTTCAAGTAACTGCATTTAGATAATGTTACTGCATATTTAATACTGTGTCGCAAGAGGTACTTCTTTACAACCTCACTTTTCTCACCCATTACAATGCTACAATAAAATCAGATATTAATTACAACTAAGATTCTTAGTCAATTGATATTTATGAGCTCAAAATCCAAATAAAATGACGTTGAAATAAAGAAAAACGAACTTTTATAACAACGTCAATACTCGTGAACTGATCACCTTAGCCATCACACTTAGTCAAAAACTGTGTGATTGCCTAAGCAAGAAATTAGTGAGATCCTGTTAAGGAAAGTACAGGATTCATTTGAAGTTTATTCAATGAAATCAGTTGAGTCAGTAAGTGCTTCAATTTATTTCGAGTGAGTTTTTAAAGATATTTCGTGATTTGCGCTTTTAAGATTCCATGCCATAGATTACTAAACTTTTTCTGTGGTTTGCATTTCAAACCGTGATCTTTCAACTTGGCGAAACGAGCTTGTATAACCCCTTGGTACAAAATTCCCAAGGTGCGATGATGCAAGTATATACTAATGGTAGATCATGGAGTGAAAACAAACTAGTTATTAAACTTATTCTAAATCTATCAACACCAAGAAATTTGTTCCTTGTGTTAGTAAGTAAGAAAGAATGGATTACTCCAAGTATCCATGGAGCATTCAGTTCAAGTTCTCGTCACCTTGACCCATTATCATTTTTATTTTCATTTGCTTTGACGAATTTGAACCCTCAGTTCTCTTTGATGCACGAGCCTTAGTCTCGTATGGTTTACAGTGTTTGATGGAAGGCAGAACGAAGACATCTTTGCTAGCCATGTTTTTTTCATCTCACAGGATGGGTTCCAATATCTGCAATGAACCGGGTTGCGGAGATGCTTCATATGCCAAGAATGCGCGTTTATGAAGTTGCTACGTTTTACACCATGTTCAACAGGTAATGCTCCTTGATTTCATTATTTAAGAAGCCTTTGTTAAGCTTTCTTAAAAGCACAGACCAACTATTAGCTTTATACCTTAGCGCTATCTTCTTACAGAAACTCTTATGTTTATAGCACCGAGTATAAATCATACAGCTGAGCACGATGTTGAAGACTTCGCAGTTGATGTTGTCTTCTGTTTAGCTGGCCGATCTTTCGCCCACAAGCTTTCTTTTCCAGCTTTTTTTATATCCAAAATGCACGAATTTCTTCCAGTGAATCTAAATTTTTGCTAAGCGACAATGATATCCTGTATATTTGCTTACAGAGAACCAGTAGGGAAGTATCACATTCAGGTCTGCACAACAACACCTTGTATGCTAAGAAATGCTGAGTCCATGGTTGACGTCATCACTCGAAAGCTTGGTAAGAAAAGTTTATTCACCCGCTGCTCTACAATTTGTGTTGTTTTAAGACGTGTTTTTCGAATATCACTGAATATGGTGTACCCGTTACGCTTAGCTACAGTGCATAAATATTTTGCAATCTTCGATGGCATGTTGCTTGCCATCTTCAAATAAATAGTTTGATAGGAGTTCCAGTACTTTAGAATAGTCCTGTCCTGTCTTATCGTGCAGTGGGGATGAACTTCGATGTTTGTTTGATGAGCCTGGAATGATTATTTTTCTAGCCGTTCTCCTGATACAGGGTGCTCCAAGAGCTTTGTCAAACATCGCGACAGGCAGGCTTCTCGAAGTGTGCCAAAATGAATTTTAGCTTCTTTTTTCACATAAATTTTACTGATACCAAGTCGTAAGAAGGAAGCTGTGTTTGTGGTCTATGCGGTAGCACTGGTTCTGAAGAATTCGACTTTTGTCTAATACCCGGGGTTAGATGTGCAGGATTCGCCACCTATCCTGTGCAAAAGCTTTTATCTGGCGCTCTTTGTCATACAATGACGTCAAGAGCAATATGACATGAACATCAAAGCCAACATTACACAAATATTATAAATCTATTGCTTCAATATAACTTTAATTACTTTGAATTCGGAATTTCATGATGGGAATTTTTCTTGTAGGTATCAAGGAAGGTGAAACAACTAAGGATAAGCTTTTTACGTTGACTATTGTGGAATGCCTTGGTGCCTGTGTGAATGCTCCAATGATACAAATAAATGATGATTATTATGTAAGTACTTAATGTCAGTAATTACCCAGTGTTAATTGGGAATTGTGAATTCGTTATTTGGTTCCTTGTCAGGTTTTTTTCTTTAAAAAGCAGAATCCAAACACAGTTTCACTCGGGACATAGACTGATAATTTTTAGAGGCTTTGCACAAGGCCTATTTTAACATACTATCAAGGGGGAGCAATTCCCCCTCCTGCCCCGACGACTTCCCATTGTTTCAAACAATAAGCTATTGTCAGCAACTTCATATGAACAGAGGCTTGCCCCCCTAGCTAGTTTCCCTTCGAAGAGATTATGTTGCTCAACGCTTTTTTCTTTCTTTTTATTTTCAAGGAGGATTTATCTGAAAAAGATGTAGAAGAAATTTTAGACGCTTTGGCGGCTGGTAAGAAGCCAAAGGCTGGACCAAGGTGAGGGAGTCATTTATTTATCTTTTTCAAATTGTCGTTTGCAAGGTGGCGTGTTTTGGTGATATCTAAATGCTGGAACTAAAAGGTCTGTTGGATTTGCTTGTTTTCATTCGAGTTTCCTCTTTACATTTGAATAATCTCTTATTGCCTGCAATTCTTCTTTTCGTTTAGAAGCGAAAGATTCTCGTGTGAACCATTTACTGGATTGACAACACTGACGACGCCCCCAAAGGGACCCGGCTTTGGAGTTAGAGACGATCTGTAGCAAATGTATTTTAAAATTCTTTCAATCCTTACAAAGCCTGCTCAGCGAATTCCTTAGCTGAGTCACTGAATCCCCCTTGATGTGTTTTATGTTGAAATGTATTGTATTCCATATTGTTTGATCCCGGTGTCTACATTTGTGTGTCCTTTTCTCTGCCATCTCTGCAGGCACCCAAAAGATGTTAAAATTTATGTTGCTGATCTGTTGTTTGAAAACTGGCTTTTAGGATATCTATTGTGGAAGATAACTAGGGGACAAACAAGTCTTCGGTTGGTTTTGTAATAGATCCTGTGTCTATACATGTCTCTCAACCCTTGTGACTGAAGAATCTATTTTCATGTTTTCACGTATCCGTGACAAATAAAACCATCAGCTCAATGTTTGACAAGACTTTTGCCGGCCCGTTCAATCAACTGCAGAGCTCTTTTATGAAGTTTCCTTCCTATTCAGTCTCGACTCTCATCAAACACTAAAACCTTTCCGTCGTGCTGAAGAAGAGATTTAAAATGCGTATTAAAGGCAATCGGTACTACTAAAGGGGCTTAGGGCCATCTTTCAGTAAAAATTGACCAATCAGTGAATTTGATTCCACTCACACGCTTATTGATTGGCTAATATTCACTGTCAGATGGCTTAAGCCACTTTTATATTTGTCGATTGCCATGGAACTAGTTTGTCAATTCTCAAGTAGAAAAGGGCTTCCTACATTTTTTTAGTTTTCTCTAAAAAACACATTTTCAATGTTGAACATCTCTGTGTTCAGGGAATGAGAATTAGCATCAAGGAACAGCTCTTTTAAAACACCAGCAAAACTTTCTATCTAAATCGTTATATATGGGTGCTATTTACATCTAAGGGTGCATCTAAGAGATGTCTCGCTCACTTTTTGGCAAATGAGGCCTAAACAACTCCCTAGAGTGCAATAGCTTGCAAGTGCACTGCTTACACCCTAATAATTTAAGAATAATCCAGCCTCAATGTTTCGAAAAATCTAAGAAGAGCCAGCCAGAACCTCAATTTACTGGTTCTTATAAGAAAAGAGTGTAGCATGAATGTAGTCGTCGCCAAGTCGCCTGCTAAATGATTCACGCTGTTTCAACATTTGACTATAACACAGAGACAGAAAAGTGTCCCTCTGTCTTTCGGATGGCACTCTTGAACTCTTAGAATAACCTGTCTCAAGAAGCAAGGAAAAAAGGGCTGGTTTTGAATGTTGTACTCATGTTACTTTTGCTTTCACTGGCTGCTCTCGCGGCTCTTGCTTTGTGACCATCATGTCTTCTTCGCTCCTTATTTGACTAGGTATAGGGTGTTCTTGTCGTGATTGCAATAACCTGAGGTTTTTGTCCCACTTTTTCTTAACAATAGACATTTATATTTTTGATCTATGACAATGATAAAATTTTAGTATTTAGTAACGTTATCTGGACGCTGATACCCCCAGGAAGTGTGCGTTTTCAGGCGCGTTTTCTGGTCAGAAGACGTGGTACACTGTGATTTGTTCCACTCACATATTATAATTGCTTATTGTCAGTGTGCTGTCTTGAATATCGAAATTCAAAATTGCATGCTCCCTTTCAAAACACTACTTCAGTGTGCATGAAGACAAGTGAATGCAATACAGTTTGCTAAACAACTTTAAGAAGACATATTCCTTAGCAGTATTTCCAGGATACCAGCAAAGTAAATCAAAAAGTTTCGGGCTGCCAAGCTGATTTCCAGTCAAAACCTTAATGTGGTCAGCTGAATCCTAGCCCAAAAGACATGAAATTCTATCTTTGAAATGAAATTTTGTGTTTGCAATTTAACGATTTCCAAGACCGCAATGGACTGTTAATTTTATATGGTGTCTGTGTGCAATGGAAATTATACCCTGTAATGTCAGACGTATCGTCATAGTTCTAAAAAATTAATTGGGATCGCGTAAATTCAGACGCGTCTCAAATATTCTCTATCTAGAGAATTCAACTTAGGTCTTTTACATTACCTAGGAAAGTTCACTTTCCAGTTGATGTTGAGTATGTATGTATTCAAAGGCATATTTTTATTAAGGTTGGGTTTGGGGCAAACTTGTCTTTTATAAATGTGCACAGTGGCGGCGGCAAGAGGGGTATGGGGGCAATTATCCCCTCCCTCCACTTTTGTCAAAACATGGTCCACATATTCTCTTTTTAAATTTATTAGGGGTAGATCATATTTTCGCATAAGGAAAATTCACTTGGCCTTGTATAAAGCACTGAACCAAAGCAAAGAGGGCGTGATCTCATTAGCCAAGCCCAATACCCCCCCCCCCCCCCCCCCCCCCCCCCCCCCCTTCTGAACAAGCTGGCACCACCACTGGATGGGCATGCGCATGCTTCTACAAAACATTTCAGTTTGATATGATTTCGGAAGGCTTTATTACGTAATAGTTATTTTCGGACAATTTATGGAAGCTTGCTACTTATAAAACTGTTGCATTTGATACCATCTAGTTGTGAATAGAAGCTTTCCGGAGAAGAGTACTCAACTCATCAAAACTGTTTTGTTTGAATTTCTATTCATGCTAAGAATTTCTTCATTTGGCAAATGCTTAGAAAGGCATGTTTATAGGCAGAAGCAAGCTTCTAAAAAAAGCAGATAATTGAGTTTATATTCACTTTTTGTGAAATATAACTAAAATCAGGGTCACCTCAGATTGCTGAGATAAGAAGAATAAGCAAAACTAAGATTTATATAGCACTTGAATTTCTTGAACCCTCTTTGCCTCAACATGCCCTTACAGTTCATTTTATCCTAGTAAATAACATCGAGAGTTTGTCCAACCGTTTTGAATAATGTCTGTATTTGAGAGTGCACCCCTTTGACCAGGTTTATCCTTTGTTGGAATTCTAAACAAACCCTTGTAGACATGGACTGGTATCACATAAACATACAGTATTTCGTATGTATCATTCAAGCTACAGATATCAGGTCCCGCCCAAGCTACTCTTACACAACGCCCTTGAGAAAACGCGAAGGATGTGTTTTGCATTCAGAAACCAGCTTATTTGTATTGCCATTCCCCCTTGTGGATATTACTTTCTAAACTAAATAACTAAATACAATTTAAGCAGCATCCCTTTTCATTTGAAGTTCCGAGCTCTTGTGTTGTTTATTGATTAAGCCAAGATGAATTGCCATGCGATTGTTCGCCTTGACCAATTGAATTAATATGTCATAGATTAAAATCTTAAGACGGCCCGAATAAAGCACTATTCTTTGAAAACTGCAAATGAACGGTGACCTGTGGCCATTTTTCAAAGGCTTACGCACGCTTGTTGTAGATCGATCGATTGTAAGCAAATACTTCCAATACTTTGAATGAGCGCGAGATTCTTTGCATAATAAAGCGACGGTCTGGCTGGTGAGAACTGAACTGATCACAAGTTTGCCTTTTGCAGCTTTCAATCATTGTGTATTTTGCAGCTGATGACTAAAGCTCTACTATTTACTTGCGCTTGTTGCAGTTTAATGCTGATCAACTTTGTTTGATTACCTCGATCGAATCAGGTAAGCACTCTAGCTTTTTCCAAGCCCGTAGGTAAACATCCGCGCTAGTATCGAAACAGATCAGGCGAATCGCACTCAAAATGCACCTGGCACTTGGGCTGACAAATGTATGACACATTTTTGCATGCAAACTTTAGGATACCCAGGAGTTTCTTACTGACATACGCAGGACTATTTCTTTCTGTTGTTGATTATTTGAATAGAAGTAAAAAATATATTTTCGTTTCAGTTTGGGAATGTAAAGTAACTTCCTACTCCTGTGCGTTTGTGTGATTTGCCTCGCCCGTAAAGCAGTTCAAATTTGCTTTTTTACAGTCTACTTTCGAAAATGAAGGAACATTTTAAAAAAGATTCACACAAAAGCTATGAAGTTGAAAAAAGAACAAGGTTTCAATGGTTATGGTCGATATATTTTCAACAAAAAAACGTTTTCATTTCATGTGACTCTGTTGGAAGTAACAATAGGCGGAAAATTTTACCGAAATTCTCATTTGCACGTTATTTTAAAGCCCCTTTAAACTGTTCATAGGAACAAAAATAGCATTTGCAAATTTGTAATATAATGTCCTTTCAAACAATTTAAAGGGAAACAGAGGACAAAGTCAGTTAAGGTGAATTTAGACTCTACTTGTAATCAGCTTAATAGACCTAAAAATGTCTGCAAAATGCAGTCGTCAGTGTCTTCTCGTGCGAATTTGCAAAGAAATGCCAAAAGCAAACCCATAAATTGCCACCTCCATTTTGTTTGTTTTGCTTTTTTAACAATTTCTTTTAACATTGAACTGTTAGAAAACAACATGCTTTTATTCATTATTGTACCTGCTTCGGATTATTTCAGGGCCTTGATCTGAAATTGAAACTATTAATGTATCTAGGATTAAAAGGTATGGTTGAAATTCAAATTAAAATATCTATAAAGAGTTCAGGGTTCATCACTCTAGATTAACAGAAACCAGGATACTGGTGGCACTGAACCCCGCCCCCGCAAATAATGCTGAATCTTTAAAGGGCCACTCCAGCCCAAAATTTTTATTTCAGAACACGATGTAATCAGACCTCCTGAAAACGAATCTGTTATTATTTTTTTCATATCTCTAACCGTTTTGTAGTTATTAGCGTTTGTAAAATGGTCATTGAGTTGAATTGTTTTTCAACCGTGTTATCGGAGATCTCCGGATTGACGTCACAAGCATTTTCGGCCTCGGTAAGTTCGCGGCAAGTATCATCGGCTGTCCAAAGGGTCAACGAGAACCTAGCGAAATGGCAGACAGGGCCTAGCAGCGGCATGTTTGTTAGTAGGCCAGACTTTTATCTGGAATCGATATAAAGAGAGAAGTATCGCTCATCAGTCTTGATATTCTGATCGAATATGGAAGTTTTTTATCGCACGAATCTTTCTGACAGAGAAGTCAAATTGTCAAAGTAGGCCAGCGAGACAGAGACATGAGGATGTTGACAGACTTTCGTGGAATGTTGCTTTTGAAGCAATTTATATTGGCAGGCCAGTTCCCTGATTTTAAAAAGAAGATTCGCGCTTTTTCATCAGCTCTTCCTTTAGTGCAACAGCTAAAAAACCATCGCGCAATTAATTCGAGAGGAAAGACCAAAACAAAACCAGTATACCGGGAATGAAAGCTGTATGAATTGATACAACATATTCATTAGGCTTCATATCAACATGACTATGACTTATTAGAAATAAACCAGGACAATCGAAGGGCATGGACAAGAAAGTATACAAACTTTCAAGACAAGACTAGAAACCTACCATTAGTCAACTTTTTCAAAAATTATAAATTTGTTTTTATACAAACAAAAAAGGGATTTGAGATTATATTAATAATTCAACTTTTTCAATATACTTCTGTAAATATAATTTTTGTATTTAACCTTTAAGCTATTACAGGGGCCTTGTCAGCCCCTTTAAGCTGTCAGAATTTCAACCTACTATATATATGTTGTTACTAGTTTTAAATAATAGCAGTGGATTTGCAAACATTATATAGATATGACCAAATTATATATAAAATTTTGATAATTTTAAAAATAGTCTCCTTTGTAAAAATGTTAATACAAAAACAGAATAATGTGTTCAGGTCTTTGTGGTAACTCTTGCAAGGAAAAAGGGGTGAGTTATCACTCCCCCAAAGCCAGTAGCCAGATAACAGAATGCATGTAATCTCCAACCTTCATCTAGCATTTTTTTGCAAGATCCTTTCTGCTGATCCATAAAAGAGTTTGTTACCTTTTTATGCCTAGAATAATAAGGTTGACAGGGATAAATACAAACATAACAGTGAAATTTACTTTTGAGTCATATTAAAACATAAAATGATCAAAGAAACTTGGACACTCAGGGGCATTCAGAGTATAGATATTTAAAAGGATCAAAGAGAAATTTAGGGGTGAAAGGGCAACCACTGTTACTATAGCAAATAGCATCTAAGGATATTAACTTGAAGTAACACAAAGATGAATTTAAATGATATAGGCCATGCTTATATGAATCAATGCTAGAATAGCAAGGTAATTTTAACAAATATAAACAATTCTGCCTTTAAAACATTAGAATGAGGATATGACACATCTTTTTTCCAAAACCAAGGGTGTAAATTCCATGTTTTTTCTTTGGGGTAGTAGATCTTTTGCCCTGGATATTGATCTGGCAAAATTTTGAAATTGTGCATCAATTCTATGATGAAATAGGCAGAACTCCAAAATTGAAGGCAGAACATGGTAGAACATGAAGAAAAAGGGTTCAGGGAAACATCAGACAAACCCTGAGAAATTTTACACATCTATACCTCGGGCAAAGGTGTAGTGCACAGATCATTGGCAGGGATGTAGTGCTAGGAGGCTCAGGCCCCCTTATTGGTACAAAAAAGTAGCAAACTTCTACTTTTGGTACTATTTTATGTGACATTTTGCTTGAGAGCCCCTGTTGTACTTTTCATATTACCACATTTCTGACTATTTGGGGGACAGTTCACAAGACTGTTAGAAAACTTGTATTTAGAGTACGAAGTTTTTCTCAAAGCCCGGCAAATTGCGTTGCTTAGGGGGTGCGTGTCACACCATCCCCAAACCCCCTCCAAACCTTTACACCCTGCAGTTTCGCCTAACATTCAACATAGTAAAATGATAATAAGGATGAATTGTGACTTACGGGAAAGTTTCCATTTTGTGAATGGGGTTCTTCTTCTAATGCGGTGAGACATCAATTATTATTCAGCTCCCTGGAAATTCCTGAGATGACACGACGATAAGAAATGCCTTCGGTCAGAAATCCATTCACATCTGAAAATTCGTGAAGCATTTCATATTAAAAAGCTTGCTGCGTTGCCAAGATGAGGGTATGCGTTCAGGTTGAAGCTTCCATCTTTGATTTGTCGAATTACTAGTCCATGTTGGCTGGAAGCCTCCGCTGAACATCAATCGCAATGAAGGAAAATAAATAAAACGACAACCGAGATTCCGACATGAATCGCCTCTTCCGAGCCTCTACCGAGTCGTGCGAATTTCAGTGCGAACGTATAACAATAGCGCCGAATGTTGAAACAATGGTCCCTTCATACGTCACAAGGTACTTTTTCCGAAAAAAATTTTGTCGTATTTTTACGGTGATTCTCAACTTTGAGCGTCTATATCTGGAAAACGAGTTAAGCTTTTCGAAAAAAAATTCACGATAGCTTCTTTTTCTCGACTAACTACCAATTTATGCAAAAATCTCAGAAAAAATTTTTGGGCTGGAGTGGCCCTTTAATATGTTTGAAACTGGGAGTTGCTTTCCTGCTTTTATAGAATACTTACAAAAACATTTTTAAACTCATATATACGGTAACTTGCGCAAAAATGGCGATTTCCCCAGTTTGCTAAGTTAAAAAATCCTCGGGCTTCGTACGTCAGTACAATTTTCATTTGCCTGTTTATCAAAAATTTATTTCGGTACCTAATACAGGAAGAAAATCTGCATCTTAAATTGAAAGTGATACTGCAGATTCATGTAAGTGTTTGTTCGTGTGAACTTCCCTGTTTTGGCATTGATCATTACAAAATTGAAACTAAGCACCAAGGCGAATCTATTCATCACTTATGGGAACATTGCACCAACAGCGGGTGCCCCTTCACAGGTTTAGAGCAGTCTTGTTTTGAAAGCAAAGTTTCTTATTATCGCTTATATACAAATTTTGACCCCAGTTTTCAGCACCAAAAATACATGCTAGCCGAAAATGCGTATATTTCAAGTTAAGATCGAAGACATGTATGGAGCAATCATATGGTGGGGCAGACACAGTGAGTTATTTTTTTGAGTTTCTGAGTTACAAAAGTATCCGATTTCCTCTCGATTTCAGATTTAAATTTTTCTGCCAAATTTTTGTAGATGGTCTTACACTTTGAAACTGCACCCTGAACTTTCTAGAGAGCTGAGAATGCATATAAGGTACATTAGCGACTGTAAAATGAACTGGGGCCGCTTTGGTTGTTGTCATTTTGTTAGGATTTATGCTATCACGTTTAGGGTCTTTTCTGTAAGTTTTAAGTAATTTTCCAGAATTAGAATTACTCAATATCTCATTCCTCTCAGTCTATAGAGAGTCAGGCCTTATGTGCAAAAACCAAAGATTCGGGGATCAAGCAGAGCACCCGTCTTTATTCCTCGAAACAACAAGAAAGCATGGAAAAAGCTCTGATTGTACTAAGGTTCTCTATTGTTATGAAAAAAGCCATTATGTCGAAGGGGGCAACGCAGATTTATCGAAATTATTCAGTCGAATAAAACTTTTACCAAGTACTTTTTCCAAAGCTTGCTGATTCGGCATTTGTTATACCGTCAAACCCAAAGACCCCCCCCCCCTCCCCCAGTTAGTGGCAGGGAAGATCCTAGGAAATATTCCTAATGGTGATTCTCTATTGTGGTATCTGGTTTCCCTTTGACATGACGATTGGAAAGGTCCTGCCAAGATTTAGCATAAACGTTGGTAGAACACGTTTCATCAATATGGACATTAAAATAAGGGAAAGGCGGGTAGCTTTTTCAAATTGAATACGCCAATCCATAAAAAAGTGAAAATCCTCCACAGGGTCAACGTTGCTAGAGGTGATATTTAGATATATGACTACTGTTATGTTATAACTGTTTGTGAAGACAAAGTACCGCAATTGTTGTTTCTTTCTCCTACCATGAATCATATATTACTTTAAGAATTCTAGTGAATGAAATAGAAGGAAAATTAGCATGTAAAAATATTGTAAATAACAGCTACATCATCAGCTTCTCAGGTTTAGGTATGTGATCTAGAGGATCTAGCAGCCAGCCTTATAGTGCATTGTGAGCGATTGTCAGGTTTAGGGTAACAACGATCGAGGTGTCCTGGGACAGTCTAACCAGATGTTAAGGGCTAACTGCCTTTCCTTTAAGAGGACAAGTGTAGAGACAGGTTCAGAGAAGCTAACCCTAGAACAGTCTAGAATAATGCCAGATAAAGCAATTAGAAGCAGAAATAAAAGTCGAACAGCAACAAATGCAACCAATGTTTTCACGGTTTGAAGTGAAGATTTCGCTTTCATCTTCTTTTTATAAGACTATTGACTTTTTATAAGAGCTACAGTCTTCACTTCCCTGCATTCTTATCTGTTGCTAAAGGTGAGGGCATTTTACCAGGTGAAATATTGTGGCTCGGCAAAAGTCAATGCACCCTTCCAACAATTTTATTTTTTGAAATCAGAGGTGTAGTGCTAGGGGGTTCAAGGAGACTGACCTCCCCTTGTTAATGCCGAAAATTAGCAAATTTCTACTGTGCTATTGTTCATAGCAACATTGTGTGCAAGAGCCCCCCTTGTTATTTTCATAGCACTACACTACTGTTTGAAATGTATTTGTTTGCTTTTTTGTAAAGAAGACATCAAGCAAAGTTTCATTTTATAAATACTTGATCTCCCAGAGTATCACAAGCACCAGAGACGATAATTCGTAATTTTTAAAAAATTATTTTAAAAGTGCTTTACAAAAATCCCAAGCTAGTGTTTCATGTTACGAAAATTATTATTGAAGATAGGTAGAAATGATTCGTTGGACGATTGTGTACCCATGTTAGTAAGACGAACTCTTTGCTAATAAACGACTGAATCGGTACTTATTTTTGTATATTGGAAGAGCTTCCGTTATCCGGCTCTTTTGTGATTATTTTTCTATCTAAAACGTAGCTCGTTGTAAACATGCATTAAAAACGTCTTTTAGTACTAAATCCAAAACACGATTAAGAAACTGCTCAGGTATCCCGAAAATAGTCTCTTACAAAAAGTGCCTGTTCTAGTGAAGTTTAGCTTGACCGAAGTGAAATCTCATCCTAAATTCATATTTTCATTCGAAATTAATGTAACATGCTATAACCTTTTAATCTTTCTCTGTCGATCAATCATTGATTCCTCAAAAGTCACTAATAAATCGATTGACTCGATTTTCCAAAGGGGCTTTAGTCTTGCAAAACATTGGGACCAAAGAATGTCCCTCTAAGATTTAAAACGAAATCCAATCTCGAGGTTAAATTGCATTAATATAATTTTTGATAAAACTGGGCATGGATGTAAACAAACAGATCAGCTGTAATGTCCCACACTGAATAGCAGACAAGACGATTAAAAATGGTGTTATTGGCTGTGATGTTCGTTTGGTTGGTCCTTTATTCGCTTTTATTGACTTTCTGCATTCCAGGCGTTACATTTCAACCACACAGGTGTCACTTGAGCATAAGGGAAGCAATTGCTCTCCGTTCCTCGTTAAGGCAAGGCCGCCTATTTTCAAAATTATCTTTTGCGATAGTGGAAAACGATTATGTTCAGATTGCTTCCACCAGGACATACTTTAATCGATAAATCATGTTGCCGTAAACTTGGCTGCTTATCAGGACACGTAGATGACAAGCGAAATCGCAAAAGTATTTACTGGTAAGAGAAGCTAATTGAATTATTGATAGCTGTATGCAGAGAGAATTGGTTTACAGATTTGGTAACTACGTTCATGCTTCGTTGATGTTTCATGATTTTTTATGAAGTGCATTTTTCCGCGGACTTTAGAATCAAAAGTTTTTGTGAGTTTTTCCAAGTACAAGTTGCATTTTAGAATCACAATTTTAGTACATTGAGAAGTCATGTTGCAAGGAATTGTTTTAACAATCATCTATGTCAGTTTAACAGGATATTAGTGCCTAATCGTCGACAAGAATCGTTATAGATAGATTTTTAGCGGTTCATTAAGGTTGAGGTCTTGAGAAGTTATCAGTTTTTAGTTTTTGATCAGCTTAATGGTCGGTTTTATCACAAAGATGGTTTCCTATAGAATAAATTTTGTGAATCAAAGTGCCATGCTGGATCACCCTGCTGCGTCGCAGTCCGCTCTCCAGCGACAGAAAGTAGCAAGGGTCCCAGAACAGAATCTTGTCCAAGTGCAAGTGTCCAGACATATGGATAAGAATAAATCATTTAAGAATGTTGAGGCTCGGACTGGCCAGACTCAAGCCTTATTGACAGTTCATCTCTTAATTTACCAGATGTTTTAAGCAAACCAGACAAGCGTGCCCTACCTCCAGATAGTTCGAGATACAGCATTTACATTCATCGAGCTTGAACTGTGCTAGAGTATTTAATTTTCTAATACGTAGTTGGCAGAGCCATAGGCATATGGTTCTGGGAGGTAATATCCATAATATTAACAAGAATTTTCTGGCTCGAAATAAATAGTTTTCAGAATATCGTGGCTCGGCCAAAGTGATGATTTTCACTTAGAAATCGCATCATTTCTATTCAAGATGATCAACAAGCGGAGCAATGATAAACAGTGAGAAAAAATAAAGAACCGGTGGTCAGAGTTTTTGGCTGTTGAGAAAGAATTGTAGTGTATTGAAAGTTGCATCTTGTTATATTTTAGCCAGTAGAAAGGGGTCATTGTGCTTAGGCCTGGTTCGTTCCCAGATCATGAGAACAACTAACGGACTTAAGTAGACTTCGCTTTGTGAAAGAACTTGGTTAACAGACAAATGTGTTCTGTCTAGACAGGTGTTATGTATAACGCCTTTTGAATATCATGTTTCGCTTAAAGGTTAATTCTCCGTGGATTGTCCTGAAGTTATTATCCTTCTATAGCCCAAATATTGTTTGGCAGTTCAACTGAGTATTTACAAATCAGCTTGCGGCAGGTTCAGAGTCTAATCAGCAGTCGAAGCCAATCCAGCAATGCGCGGCTTGCATTTCTGGCAACCAAAGACAAAACCCGTTCTTTTTGTCTAGAATGCCTTTGCTTAAAGCGGAAAAGAGCAAAGCTAATAGGCCGTTGTTCCATGTGCCTGCCGTTCCGCATTTTGTATTTATTTATACTATCCTTCAAAATTGATCTTTTTTCTAACGCATTTTTCTGGCCTTGTACCATTGCGATTGTACTCATTGACTACAGACACTTTGCAGATACACAAGATTTCTTTGATTTATATTCTATTTTCCGGTGCTCCAACTATTCTTCATGTAAACACATTTTTTATGTTTTAATATCATTTCACAGTAGCTTTACATCGATATGATGTCACACAAGCTCCCTTGCTAGGTTCCTTTTCTATCGTCTATCTGTCGCTGTGCAAGCTTTACCCGTCAGTGAACTGGCCTGGAGACCTCTTTGTAGAAGCTGCCAAATGCTATGCGGTTATAGCAATCTTTCACCATATCAACGAATACACGCAGCCAAAACCATATACCTATACATCGCAAATAACAATTTATCGCATGTGTCAAATTATACTCCAATTGTCAGGGATAGAAATTGATTCTTTTTCTCTCTTAAGTTCGTAGATAAACGAAGACCAACGCCAGTTTCAACAAAGTCATGCGCAAGAACTTCACCATTTTTATTTATTAGAGCGCTATCTATTGCCCTTTCCTGTTCGTCACGAGCCCCAGAAGCATAAATTGACGATAAAATGGCAAGCATCGAAGGAAAGTGTCTCGTTCTAGTCAACGTGAATCTTCGTCGCTTTCAAAGATGCGTCTCCATCCATTACCATATCACCAACGCCAGAGCGATCGTGGGAAAGGCTTCGTTGCGAGGAAGTGGCAACATGGAGATTGAAGATAGTTATACTGGGATGATATCAACTCCAGTGAGAAGTGTCTCTGTCATCTACATCTCAACCAGACTAATAATTAGTGCTACATGGATGAGACAAATTCCCAACTTGATTCAAAAAGAGGGGTCAATTGGAAACAAAACAAACGGAATGGTAATGAAAAAGAGGCATAGTGAAGATGGAAGCATACACGAGGGATTATTCCAGTTCGATAAAGCATTTGCCCAAGAAATCAAATATTTGTTTGCTGAGCTAGACTTTGATCTTTACATGTGTCGCGAAAAACAGGATGCAATGAAGCAACAGTATGCCAAGTACCAAAAAGATCTTACTTGGAAGTTCAAGGAGCAAAATGAGACCCTAGTTTACTTTGTTCGAGGTAATGAAGCAGTCAGAGTGTCAAACGAAATGGGTATGAATGAGGCGAAACAAATACCGATGGATTACTCAGACAACAACAGATCGAATCACCAGATAGATGTTGCAGTTGAAGACTATTTGGAACAATGTCTCAACGAACGTACGGTGGATGTTACGATTGAGGACTACCTGCGACAATGTATCAAAGAACGCAGGACGGATGTTACGGTTGAGGACTATTTGGACAAATGTCTGAAAAAACTTGCGACTGATGTTACAGTTGAAGCCTATCTGCAACAATGTCTTAACGAACGTGCAAAAGACGTTACCGTTGAAGACTACTTGAACCAATATCGCCACGAACGTATTGAAGATGTCACAGTTGAAGCCTGTCTGCAACAATGTCTCAACGAACGTGCAAGAGACGTTACCATTGAAGACTACTTGAACCAATATCGCCACGAACGTATTGAAGATGTTACAGTTGAAGCCTATCTGCAACAATGTCTCAACGAACGTGCAAAAGACGTTACCGTTGAAGACTACTTGAACCAATGTCTCCACGAACGTATTGAAGATGTTACAGTTAAAGCCTATCTGCAACAATGTCTCAACGAACGTGCAAGAGACGTTACCATTGAACACTACTTGAACCAATGTCTCAACGAACGTGCAAAAGATGTTACAGTTGAAGCCTATCTGCAACAATGTCTCAACGAACGTGCAAAAGACGTTACGGTTGAAGACTACTTGAACCAATGTCTCAACGGACGTGCACAAGATGTTACAGTTGAAGACTATTTGAACCAATGTCTCAACGAACGTGCAAAAGATGTCACGGTTGAAGACTATTTGAACCAATGTCTCAACGAACGTGCACAAGATGTTACAGTTGAAGACTATTTGAACCAATGTCTCAACGAACGTGCACAAGATGTTACAGTTGAAGACTATTTGAACCAATGTCTCAACGAACGTGCACAAGATGTTACAGTTGAAGACTATTTGAACCAATGTCTCAACGAACGTGCACAAGATGTTACAGTTGAAGACTATTTGAACCAATGTCTCAACGAACGTGCACAAGATGTTACAGTTGAAGACTATTTGAACCAATGTCTCAACGAACGTGCAAAAGATGTTACGATTGAAGACTATTTGAACCAATGTCTCAACGAACGTGCAAAAGATGTCACGGTTGAAGCCTATTTGGACCAATGTCTCAACGAACGTGCAAAAGATGTTACGATTGAAGACTATTTGGACCAATGTCTCAACGAACGTGCAAAAGATGTTACAGTTGAAGACTATTTGAACCAATGTCTCAACGAACGTGCAAAAGATGTCACGGTTGAAGCCTATTTGGACCAATGTCTCAACGAACGTGCAAAAGATGTTACGATTGAAGACTATTTGGACCAATGTCTCAACGAACGTGCAAAAGATGTTACGATTGAAGACTATTTGGACCAATGTCTCAACGAACGTGCAAAAGATGTTACGATTGAAGACTATTTGGACCAATGTCTCAACGAACGTGCAAAAGATGTTACGATTGAAGACTATTTGGACCAATGTCTCAACGAACGTGATTCAGAAATCCTGACAGAAGCAGAGGAAGATGTTTGGAGTATGTTTAGATATGATTTGGCTGAAGGAAGTTCAAGGTTGCTTTCGTACGATACTGCTGACGACGAAAAATTATCAAAAAATCGAAACAACACTGATTATCTGATGACAGATGCTAACAATAATGTAAATAAGGAGGCGGGAGAGGGAATCAGAACACAAGGCAGCCGTCTGAAAAATTTGTGTGCTGAAGAAATGCAGCTTGACTTGGCAGAAAATCAGCCTGAAACAAAAAATGAATCTACCCGCAAAGCGAGCCCTCTGATCGTAGAAGAAAACCTCTTTGAGCAATATCAATCGGTTGATGAATCCATTTACGAGGTCGATTTTTCTGGATATCATGATGATTTAACAGGCAGCAAGTACAGCATTGTCGAAGAAGACATTGCAGCATGCTCGTTTGCAGAAAAAGAAATGCTTTCAATGGAAGAAGCTTTAGAGCGCCAGGGAATGATTTATTCGGCAGAGCTATGGCTAATTTTCGTCCCTTACCGCAGATCTCCCTGGACACAAGTATCAGTGAGTTATTATGATAACTTCACATTCGACTGGAGCATATCAAGAATTGAAGAGGCGTCTGCGTTGGAAACTGCTGCTGAGAGTGTCGGAAATGGAAATGATGAAAACAACACATTTCTTAGCGGCGGATTTTGTACCAGGGTTGAAGAGGACGTAATAGCACAGAACCAGGTGGCAGTTGTTTTAGAAGAAATTCAGTTTTCTTCACTCGATGATGTAGATTGTTCAAAGCAAAATGACGTCACTGAGAAGGAAAACAACGTAACAGCTTTGGGAGAGTCAAAGCCAGACGGAGTCAATGGCTTAGGAGATCCTCGAAACACAAAATATGATATTGCAATTGTGAAAATTGATCACAACCATACCGAGAAAAAACGAGAGGCAACAGGAAAAGAGTTTTCCTCGTTATCAAGTCTGTCAAAGAAAGGCTTTATGTACAAATCCAGAGAGAAGGTATTCGTAGGTCACGAGGCAGAAAGTTCCAGTGGGTGGAACAGTCTAGAAAAAATCCAATATAAACAGACTAAGTTGATCTCTGTGCCAGAGACGCTGCGCAGGACGGTATCTAGTGAACTAATTAAAGTGAACACTTCAGGTGCTGACAAAGATGTGGAGGAGAAAGAAACGTCAAGCAAAGAAGTGTACTCTGGTTCATTGCTCATTTCACCATTTCAAGGCTTTGGGAAAAACCTGAAAGAAAGTAATGTATAACGCGTAACACAAGCGAATGCTTTAATTAAATGTATTTTATTAACAAATATAGTTGATTTACTTAACTAATTATTCTTTAACAGCTGATTTGTATAAAGATTTAGAAAACGGTTACGTCGGCGGATAGGCTCAGTTTATTCATGACTTATTGAATAGGCTCAGTTTATTCATGACTTATTGAATAGGCTAAAAATATCGCTTATTGAAGTCATAGCTAAAAATATTGTTAAAATAAGGTATTGGGATTAGGGGAGCTAAAAATGTTGACAAAAAACATGCTTTGGGGGGCTAATCACTCCACGAAAATCTCATACGCCACATAAGCCTTAGACAAAAGTCTTGTCTTTGAGAAGCCCCACAAAGATCCCTTAGAATTCTATTGTTCTAAAAAGCCTCGTACGCTGCTTGGAATGAGCGATACACCTCCCATATTTCTTTGTCGCCAAGAAGGGTTTTGAATCACAATGACGTCATTTACGGGGGAAAACCCTTTAGATTGTTACAACCAGAGTAAGCATTTCGTTCCCAAATACTATATTTGTTCTGTATATTTTATGTTATTAAATATCCAATATATAGTCTTTATAACAAATGCAGTTTAAACAGTATCGAACTTCATGGTGCCTTATTTAGGGGACAGGGGTTATATTCAATCATTATTAAACTAACACCACCCTTATCACTTATTATGACCCCTTTATGATTTTGGATTTATGGCTAGAAATAACCATGAAGTAATTTTAAAGCCATTATGTTCCAGTGCAAATATTAGTAATTGCCATCAGCTTCAACTTTTGTTTGAAACAGTGGCAAATACCGTTGTTTGAGCCCTACACTACACAGTCACAATCCGCTTATCTTGACTCATTTTTATTGACTTCAAATGATATTACGAACCACCTCGATAAAACAGCCTACCCTAATTCGGTTAAGAAGATAAACATTTATTGTATTTGGAATATCGTTTAGCTCCCGCCCAGTATTCATAAAAACGCCTCAACTTCTCAGGGTAAACTTTTGCCCTATTCGCCTTCCTAGAATTTTTCCTTGTAGCTTTCCGTTTGAAATTTCGTTAATAAAATCATTTATGGTTTGATCTTTACACTTTGTCAGCAATATAGACAAGTTCGAGATTTTTCTTCCAACTTTAAAAACTCCCGTAAAGTGATGCATTGGCCTTCCTCAAAACTACTGATTCTTTGGATAACCTTCCTTCTGCTAACTGCCGAAGAACCACAATGTTTTCTGGACTCTGTTACTGCTTTGCTTTTTTAAGTCCCTTTTCTCCACATTCAACTAGTCAAAATGTTTAAAGAAAAGAACAATGAAAAAACCGACCTCAGATACTGTTGATAGAACATGATTCAATGGAATTTACAAAACTACACAACTCTTCATGTCGATCCACTAAAGAAAGAATTAACATTTATAAGTTTCGCAGGCTTTAATTAGCTTCTTCACCTTTTTAAAAGAGTTACAGCACAGTTTGTTAATTTACAAGGGTCGGATATTCTTTTCGTTGAAAGTCAGGTCATCTTTATCTCTGAGGATTTTCAATGCAGCCATAAAGAGATCCCTGTTGATGTGCTGGAAAAGAAACCGAACAACTCTTAGGCAAAGTTTAGCAACAAAGAATAAGCGGAAATAATTGGCTTCAAACAATATTTAGGACATAAGAACGTCTTATTCCTTAATCGTGTAAACTCAATAATACTTTACGCAGACACATTTCATTATATGGAGAGGCGTTGCTTATATTCCTTCGTTCGACACTGACGTATAGTAGAATCATTGTTCGTATTGAAATAACAGCGTAGAGACAACTGTAAATATACATTTCTATCAATTAAACTTTTTATTTTCAACTTACATTGAACATCAATTTTAATATTCGCTGGTTCAGTTGCTTTTGCTAACTAAAGTTGGTTTTATTAGTGCCATTCCGATAACAGCTTGATGGATGTGCAATAACGTTGGATAAATTTCATTTATTTAAAAACAAAAAAAAAACTACTTGTTGTCAGCTGGCTTACGATGACCTGACAGATCGATTGGTGATTGCCACGAGGCCTGCTTCAGTCTACTTTAAGCAGACTACTTCAATGTCAATTTCAATTGGAAAATTCTTTTCAAGAATACACAGCACTCGATTAAAGTTTGATCGGACGATTTAGGTAATTCAATAATAAACCCTATTGCACAACAAAGAAATCAAAACTTTATCTTAGTCATTATTCTAATTATGGTAGGGAATTTCTATTTGTGGCTTTACCATAACAATCAATAATTATCGTTTGAAGTAAAAATGTAGCCACATGATAAATCAAAATTCCTTCTGTGGCAAGATTTCATCCACAATATCTACGTCAAAAAACCACAGAACAAACGCCATACCTCATCCGATTGATCTCTGAAATCTTCGAACGTTTTTTGTAAAGGAAGGCTGGGTACCTTTCCCTTCTTTTTGATAAAGTCAGACAAGGCCCTGGAGACTTCTTGCTGGCGCTTGCGGTCGCTCAAACTAAGACCAGTGGTCAGAATGTTGATGTCAATCATTCCTGTTTTGGGGTCCATGGCAGACTGCTTAAGAGCTTCTCTGTGAAGTCTACAAAAGAATTGTAATCAACTCTTAACTCAAAAAACTTTAAATCAACTAGTATCAATTAAATTATTCCACTGTTGTAGACTATATGTGTGCATCTTTGGGAATTAAAATAGAATCACAGTAACTATTTGGTTAGCATGCAACATTTTGTAACACTACCAAATACCTTTTGGCTTCTTCGACGTCAACATTCTCAACCACATTTGAAAACCTGCGAATAAAATTTCAAGATTTGATTTGCAGTATTAGCAATATAAACAAATGTTGATCATTTTTATAGTTCTTCCTTTTATCCAAGACGAGACACTGATCTAACGGTGGTGATAATGATTATAATGTCAATGTTGATTGATAATTGACGACGCTAACATACCTCACTTTGGCATGGGCTTCTGCGAGCCGCAGCAGCGATTCCAGTTGTCTTGGATAGGCGGTGACTGCGCCTCTGCTGCTACCAGCCTTTCGCATGTCTTCAAAATATCAGGTTATCAATCAAAAAAATAGTCATAACTTTTGGAGCTCAAGTTTAAGTTAGACAACTTAATGCGAGCAATTAGATAATTAATGTGACATGGACATTATTGATATGTTTTTGCAATAAAACAACTTCTTTAGTAAAGTAGGACACTTTTAGTTTTTTTATATCAAGAGACTACACTTAAGCGTTCTGAAAACATGGCAAAGGCATGTTATATTCTAATAACATTGTTATATTAATGCCATTTCGTGATAATAGGAAAAACAGGAATTATGGAAGACAATAATTACGTTCCACGCATCTAAGGTTGGTTTACCAGATTCATTGATTGCAGATCCATTCATAATTTGCAAATTTGATCATGTCAATGTTTTATCACAAGAGATGGAGTAGCTTGGAATTAGAGTATAATCGCAATCGCAAGAGATTGAGTATAATCGCAATCGCAAGAGATTGAGTATAATCGCAACTCACCAACATACGCATGAATCAGCGACTGCGCAGCCTCCTCGTTCAAACGCGGGTTGATGTGGTTCTTGGCATATGCAAGATAATCTCGCAGAACACTCATATCCTATTAAATAGCGAAAAATGTCTATGTTTATCTTTTAACTTCAAGAGCAAGTGCAAAAATATTACGACTGGTAAAACACAAAACCGCCTGAGATTCAACGCACAGCTTCGCTACCAAAATAGCAAAAACTCATTGGCTAGCAGAATTATTTGCATTCAACAAGATAGAAAAACCAACACCCATTTAGCTTTTCTGTAATATACTCACCAAAAGTTCTTCTTCAGCTTGCTTCTCAGTCAAATGATAGAGTGATACCAAGTGCGAGGCCAGCCTTCTGTCAAAAACCTCGTCTTGAGGATCAAGCATCAAGAAAATTAAATCGAACCTTTGAAAAAGAGAAGTAAACATTATGTGATTTATCAAACTAGTCATCTACTTGTAAAAGTTGCAAGTAATTTCCCATGTCAGATTTCGAGAAGATAACATCGTAAAGCTGTTATACACTAAAGCCAACAGGCCTAGTTTGCTTGTTATTTGTAAGTTTTACATTGTTTAGGGAGCATTTTCTGTCCTAGAAGAACAAGTTTCGTAATATTACGAAATCAATGACCTATAGAAATATGTTTGGAGCCAGTTTCACAGAGAAATGGTTTCACAAAGAAACAATTTAACAAAAACAGACTTGTGTGAACCACTTAGCAATATAGCTCATTCAGTCCTACTCGGTTCACTAGCATATGACATGCAATTCATCTAACGGGGCAATAACAAGGATTTCCGAACCTGTTAATAATTCAATTTTAGAAGTTTTTTTTACCTTGACATCAGCGTATGAGGCAACTGTATGTTTTCGACAATGGTCAGATTTGCATCCCATTGAGACCTCTGAGGATTTGCTGCAGCCAAAATCGAAGTCCGTGCATTCAACTGGCAGATAATACCAGCTTTTGCTATCGACAAAGTTTGCTGCTCCTGAAAGAGAATTTTCAGCGTCATTTTCCTACCAAGTACTTTACGGCCCAACAATACTTGCAATAAATAGAAAAAATCACGATGGAAGTTCATGCAAAATTTACACTGAGACAATGCAGCTGACAAGAACAGAAATTCAATCACAATCAAAACCAGTGGCTTGGCGAAATTCTAAACTAATTTCATTTTTATACAAAAAGCACTAAATCAAGTTGGAAGTTGTCAATATCCATTAGAGAGAAAAGTGCCAGAAGTTCTGGTGCGTCTGTAGAACTTTACAATGTGCTATAGGAAACAGTCCCATCAACAGACAAAAAGGCAAAAATACAGCTTTGATTCCTGTTTTATTAAACTAAAACTGTGCTACGTCCTTCTCCTAACATAATTTATTTCAAGTGTAAAACTGTGAAAGCAGATATGGAAGCGAACAGAAAATTAATTCACGGGATGAAAAACTATCAAGTTCATGGGAAAGGCGATTTCTACTAGTGGCTGTTGAAAGCAGTGTTCTCTTTGGCTACCTCTATGTACGGCATGACTTGGCAAATTATTACAGCAATGCAAGGGCAAAAGGTTTCAGAGGAAAGCGTACCATAACTTCATGGAGAATAGCCCTGGTGCTGTCGTTCATTTTGTCAAACTCGTCAATGCAGCAAATCCCATTGTCACTGAGGACCAAGGCTCCGCTTGAATAAAAACAAGCCAAAGTTGCCACATTAATAAAAAAACAACGACGCAAATGCTAGTTATTTAGGCATAAACTACTATCAACATTATAGAATACATTACTTCGAAATAAGAAGAGCAGGAGAAAAATAAAAGCAATGTTTAAAGCAAGGATAAGGTTAGGATAAATTTCCGAATCGGTTAGCGATCTAGTAGAAAAAGGCTCTCTTCCAATCGTATAGACACGTAAAAAAGGCAGCACTTCTGTGACGATTGCACGTTATTGGAGAGAATGAAGCAAGGGAAAATGGATCGAAATTCGAAGAAATAATGCTTGGAAATCACATACGTTTGAAGCACAAGCTGTCGCGTTTCAGGGTCCTTTGTGACGTAAGCAGTGAGACCAACAGCAGATGAGCCTTTTCCAGATGTATATTGTCCGCGAGGAATCAAATTGTACACATACTGAATTTTAAAAAAAACCAAATTTTAAAAGCATTCTTAACGGTGATAGAAAAATTGTCAGAAACAGTCTTAAGTTTTTCGGGTTAATTATTCCTCAGTCTTTCTTAAGACACACTACGGTATTTTAACTTCTTGCGTACAATTTGATATCCAAAAAACAAGCAAACTGGTATACCTGAAGTAACTGTGATTTGCTTGTTCCTGGGTCTCCACAAAGTAAAATATTGATATCTGACCTAGAACAAAACACGATGAATTTAAATTATTGTTTCTAAAACCTTGCTGCATAAGTAGCAAGCCACCTGGCAAATATTAACAGATTCAGAAACATCTTTCTGATTGACCTTTGCAAGGCTTGATTTCGCTGTGATATAACCATCATGAAATAAGGTTACTTTTGGTCCAAAAGTTTTACCTGAATCTTCCTCGACCCGCTGCTGTAAAATCTTTTTGAGTGCCTCCAAACAATTGCAATAAAATTCCTTTTTTAATGTCGTCATTTTCGTAAATACTTGGGGCTAAAAAATAATAAATGAGTCTAAACAGGTTTGTCCAGACAATCATAGATAAATACAGAAAATTAGAAGGGAATAAAGTTTTTAAGAAGTTCCCTCTTATTTGATGTCAGTTTGTAGTTGTATCTACATCTTGGAAACAGCTGTTGCGGAAAACCCAACATCTACGAGCCTGTCAAAGTAGGTGCATATTACTTTAAAGCCCCCCTCCTTCCCACCCCATCAAGCTGGTGTATGTGTACTTCAATAGCAGAGATAGCGACATTGAAATGGGAGAGAGGGGTGGGGTGTAAATCTAAACAAGGTTTTTCTAGGAATGTAGATTCAGTAATCACCTATCATCGTGGAATTCATCTTAATCCTAGAAGCCATCAGAATACCATACAAAAGCACGCCTTTTTCCAACTAATCCCAACTAATCCCAACTAATCCCACCTAATTTCAACTAAAGATATACTCCAAGCAGCTTGTTCTCGTTTAGAACGATGAGTTGACAAGATACATCGCGTTTTGATGGATAACAATATAAATGATACCTAATGCCTTGGCGAGTCTTCTGTAGATATCAGGCAGCTGAGACAAGGCTTTGAGCTCATCAATTCGCTCTTTGCTAAAAGCAGCTTGGCTGAAAGCAAAAAATGAATATTTTCTCTACTTCTTTCTATTTTTAAACGAATAAATACTGGTAACAACAAAGTGGGCTTATAGAACTTTTAAAGAAGTAAAAGTAATTGAATTTTAAGACGGAAAGACGAAGGGCCAGATTTGCTTCTAGGCCAAAGTTAGATGCTTGGAAGACAATAAACTTTGAATAGCGGTTAACATTGAAACGGAGCCATGATGGGCAGCAAAATTCACAAACCTTTCAGAACTCCGTTCGTGGAGTCTCCTTTTGTCTGTTTTTCGAAAATGAATCACATCAATGTGGGTCTTGTAAACCGAATTGACATTATTTTGCCGGGGGTTCACTCGCATTGGTATAGCTCTATAAATTCCAGTGACGGTAACCCTAAAAGCGCATACAACCATTAATTGCAACAGCCATTAATCGCTAGAGATGTTTCAAAGCACCAAACATGACTTCAGATTAAGAAAATTAATAACTTTATAAGCTAGAAGAAAAATAATCGAGTGGGAGCAAGCACATGATAGGAAAAATTTAAAGTATACTGTCATAGCTAAACAAATGAAAGAGGGGTATCCAAAATAAAAGCTGAAGTAACATTATAATTTAAAATATATATAAAATAAAACCAATTGAATAGAACAGAAAATTCCATGTCATGAAAATAAAAAGCTTTCACTCATCATAAAATACAAAGCATGGATAAATTATACACTTAAATTTACGACAAAAAATTCTGCTTTTTCTAAGCGAGAGAACATTCAAAAAGTCAATTTATAGAATGTGGTCAATGGTATGGAGCCAAGATAATTCCAAAGCATATCAAACACTATAAATTTTGAGAAACACAGTGTCTCTGGTTTAGATTGAGCATATTTAATTTAAAATTAGACATACCTGTCGCCAGGCTGAACAGTATCGACAAGGTCATTATGAGCAAAGAGTATCACGGTGTGTGGGGTCTGGCCAGCTGGCATGTCATCTGAAAAAGAGCGCTAGAACATTTTTGAACATTGAAAATACTTCTGCTCGTAAATCAACACTTTAGCCACACTAGCTTTAAAATATAAATTGGTAGGAATTTCTAATGATCTATCGACCTATAGTTAACACTATCTGGAGCTTTAACAAGAGAACTCACCCTTTGACTAAAATATTGTTTGAACCCACAGAGCTATATCTAATTTTTCTAAAATACAGAGCAAGAGACAAGACAGTCACTGATTCTGTGCTCTGTGTACGACATAACAACTGCTTACTGACTTAATGAGCTACTACTAATATATTTATAAACTGGTAAAAAATTACTAGCAAAAAACGTACTGAGTTTGCATGAAAGGACGAATGATTAGAGAAATGGATTAATCAAGACTCAGGTGTAAACACTAGCTGAAGTAATGACCTAAGGAATGAGTCGTGTTGTGTATTGAATAGGAGATTCCACAATTGTAGGACAAAATGGGTGCCAAAAAGGAGGTGTGTGGAATAAGGATGATTAATATATGGTTAATAGTGATTGCGATCTATTCAATAGAGTAACTATTGTTTCCTTCAATGATCCAGATAAGTGCCCTTATTTCTGGAGATTGAGATCTTGCTCAGTCTTTATTTACCTGGTGACTCTTGCAATTTGACCATCTGCTTGTCCGAAAATTGGCACCTGTTATGTATAAGATCCATACTGTGGTTTGTGTTACAGTTGCGGCAAACAGAGGGTTCTGAAATTCTACCCCTATCAATTTCTACAGTTGCAGTGGCATGGCAGACATAACATCTGAAGAAAGCTGCAAAGAGAAGAAGTTAACATTATGCAAAATTGCATTACCAATTAAAATGGTCAGTTGTTCTTGGCTGAAATGCCAATCAAACTACCAACTTTTTAAGTGAAGGGCAGGGGTAATTGGGAAAGGGGGAACTGGGATGAATGCTCAGCTAATATCCAATTCCCTTACAAAGTAATATATATCTCAAAGTACTCAATGGCCTGAGCTGGCTGTTAATGGAATTGGTAAATAGTCACAGAATGCTTTAATGTGCGATGATTTTACTCTAAAACCTGATACCTATATTATAAGAAATACAATCTATTATAGGAAGACAATATCGTTCCATTATAGATTTGTTTTGTTTGCTCCTGCTTGATAATAGTACACTCTTTGAAAGTAGATTAGAGGGGCTGAAAGAAGATTCTACAGCAAATTAAATTGTCTTACCAGCTCTCATTTCAGGGATCAGATTGGATGTTCTTATCACCATTCCACTTATTGTTATCAGTTGATCAATGTCTAGATGAAAAATAAAACAATTATTTGTACTTTTGGTCATGATTTATATTTTAACTATGCGTAAATGAACATATTTGTGCATTCATATAGAGATACTGAAACTGCCTGAAAATTAATGGCTGTTAATATAAAAAAAATTAATATATACAAACCAAAAACACAAAACAGCAATGCAGATTATCAGAGAACTCAAAATGAAGGTCAGAAATCAGTTTTTACCTTAAATCAACAATATCTATAACTTGTGCTTAATTACAATATCTTACCTTCAGGGTTCAGAGACCGCATGTTCATTGTTTTATCTGTGTTGAATGTTCTTATCTGTAAAAAGATGCAGGCAATAAGATATCTATCACAGCCTCAAAATCAATAACGGAGGTATCCTGTCGTTCTGTACGAAGAATACTGGTACTGTTCAGATGCTGTTGTAGCCAGTTATGAAAACATTGATATAGGTAATAGGTATATATTGACTTTCTTGCAGTCAATTGGACCCAGGTCGCTGTTTTTGCTAAGGGTAACAGATGCTGCTGTTACTCTATGCTAACAAGGTTTCCATTTCCCTTGATTAACTTGAGCCTGGTTATGTTGCATACAATTTTTGAACTTCTTGTGCTTCTTTTATATTATTGTGTCAAGGAAGTGTGATATTGGCCTTACACAAAATTTCTTTGAACTTGATTTCTCAATGTGCACTCCATTGCTTAGTGTACAGGTGTTTCTAGGTGTGATTAAAAAATATTTTTAATAGTTTTACATTCACTCTCCAATAGTTCCAATGATATGATAACTTTGTATGTTTGCTTATTCACTGGTACCCTGCTGATCTGTGCAGTGAGGGGAATTGATATGTGAGGGGTATTGATATATAAGGGGGTCAAAAAAGTTGTTGACAAGTTTCAAGACGTATTCTACCTGTATTTGATGTTCCAGAGTCACTTCAGGATATTCCTTAAAGAACAACTCATTCACAGCCATATCAAAGGTTGGAATAACTTCTTGAGGATATGAAACAAGCTGCCTATATAGATCTCTTCCATATGCCTTGAGATGCAAACAGTCAATATTGAGAAATGGTTGCTCTGTGATTGAGATCTATGAGAAAAACAATTCACCTTTAAGTTGACTACAAAAAGGTGCCTTAAAATGGATAATTATATAGATTTTTGCAAAACTATAAAGAGAAGATTCTTATGGAAGGTTCTAGGGTGGCTTGGTGGTTGAAGTAAGTTTTACTAGGTAAATGAAAAATTTGCTGAAATTCTTCATTTTAAAAACTAGTGGAAGTTATTTGGGAAGAAACCACCAGCTGTCTGTAACCAGTTTGCAGTATACCAAGATCACCACAAAATTTAGGATGGAATTTGACAAATCTGGCTCAAGCATCTATAAAGACTTAGAAAGACTGTCAAGTCTCCCACATGCATTGCCATGGACAGCCTAAATGCTGGCCCTAGGTCAGTATTGGGTCCTTATTCAGTCTAGCTGTACTGAGGAAGTCTCTGTCTGAAGTGTCAGTGGTATTATTTACTTTATTTGCTAGGTGGCTGCCTCCCTAAAAACTAAGATTCACCACATTTCTCCAGTACCTGCAACCTAAAAATGCCAAAAATTAAGATGTTGAGGTAGTCCAAAAGGAAAGCCTACTTCTTCAAGCTTTTGCATGTAGAGTGGTTGGGTCAGATCAAAGTCATCATTTGCATCATCTAATTCATCAACCAAGAATTCTTGCATAAACTTCTTAAATTTTTCTTTTGTATCGCTGACAACAACATCTGTGCCCCAAATAACCAGCTTAGGCTCTGTGGCTTCACTTGTGGGGGCTCCTTCTGTTGCATCTGAAGGCTGTTAAAAGAAAATGAAGAAATCCAGGCTAATGGAGAATGTTTTGAACAAACAGATAAAGTTCAAGATCTAAAATATGAAGCTGTCTTGCTTCAAACAGTTCTAATGCACAAGGATAACACAATTTACAAACTGGCTAAGTCATTTAGGAAATCAAGTTCTCAATTTTACTAAAACCAATCATCTTTTGTGCAGTACCAATTTGCTTGTGATCTATTTTACCAGACCTTATTTTCACTTCAGTTTGTATATTATCATTTCTAATGAATACATTAGAAATAGCACATTTAATGAAAAAGTAAAGAAAATTCAAGCTATTTTAATTAACCAAATATAACACAAAAATTATCAAAACAAAGCAAATTAAAAGAACTAAATGCAGGGAAATTTCTTAAAAAATATGTTTTAAATGATGGCATACATCAAAACAAATTGGATATACCCTAGGTTGATAGATCTGTTATTGCTGCTTTGACATGTTTATCAGTATTGACTGATATGATGTGCTTACATCTTTAGTGATTTAATTAAATTTTCATAAGTTAATCAGCAAATCTGCCACATATAGAACATCTTGAAGTGATGATAAGATGATGTGCTAAAGGTTTATGCCTAAGTGATGTGATTGGTCTGCTAAAAGTTTGTTGCTTTGAAAGTTGCTTTTGTTGTTGGAATTATCAAATAACCAACAAAATTTTTGAATACTATTTTACACTTACAGGTATGTCCCCTCCAACATTGACTTGCCTTATTCTTCTATCACTTCTGACATCAATTCTTGCTCTTATTGGTGTGGCATGGCTGATAACTGTTAAGTTCTAATAATAACTCTTCCATTTGATACTGTGAGGACTATTTACACATGGATTGCAAAACCAAAGTCACACACACACAGACCTTCACTGTTTTTCAATATAAGATATAATTAAACAAATTAAAACAAAAGCAATAAATTTGATTATTTATCAAAGGAATTGGTACAAACAATGAAAACAGTACAGCAGAAGACTTTGTCATCAAGAAATCAGCTTCTACCATTGTTAATGACTATTAATGAAGACCTTACTTAGAGAATCTTGTAAATGAAAAAGATACGCTCCCTCTCGAGGTGTTCCAGTAACTCTGGAAGATGGTGTACCATAATTCAATGGCGAGCTCAAATCAATGTCACTTGTGTTGAATCCACGCACCGAGGTACGATCAGCTTCTTGCTGTGATGTGTTCAGTGGTGATGATGGTGCAAAAGGCAAAGGAGATGAGCTGTCATTTACTTTTCTTCTCTGGGATGGTGGTGATATGACATCGTTTGACCCTAAACCTTTGTCATCTTCAGCACCTTGCCTTTCAGAAGATACTGCAAGACAAAAACAATGTTGTCAAGAAATCTAGCAGTCTAGCTTTAAAACATTACAAAAAAATCATTTAAAAATACGTAAACAATTTACTAAGATAATTTTTAAGATATTGGGTAGAAGTTTATTTGTCTGCCTGATTAATATGGCAATATTTGGAAGCTTATCGTGAAACCAAACCAATGAATTATTTTTGACATATGGCAAAACAAACTCGCTGTAGTTGAGAGATCAAACGCCGGACTACTACTGACGACTGGTGCACTTGATCTGGTCATGAATCACAGAGACGACTGTGTAAGACAAACAGCAAAATCTTACATGGAGAATCAGTCCTGGATCTTTTACGTCCACCAGTAGGAGTGCTCGGAGCTGACATTTCCAATATTTATCCGTGAACTGACACCCTTCACAGCACTTAGTTATGGAATTTTTGGTTCCTTGATGGCTGACTGAATGAGAAAAGCGCGGGAAATGTCACATGTGTATTAGAAACGAGGTCAAGTATGTGCAAACGAGTCACTTCCATAAGAGATAATTGTAGAACAACAAAAGTTGTTTTTCGGCTGGATGATTGTTGATTATGGACCCAATTTATTTTTTACCAGAAAGCAAGCACTGTTATGACCTTATAAATGAAGATGTTTCAATAACAAGCGAAAATGAACCTTCGATATCGATTGAAACGATTGACACTTCAACAGATCCCGATACCCTTGGCAACTGTTTTCTTAGCAACTGTGAGAATGGAAACCTTGCTAATGTACAAAGGCTTCTTGATATGAAAGAAGATTTGATCAATTTTAGGGATGCAGATGGCTATACTGGTCTTCATAGAGCTTCGTATAACGGACATTTAGAGACCATAGATTTTTTAATAAACTGTGGTGCTGATTTTTCTGCACAAACGAATGATGGCTGGCAGCCGCTGCATTGTGCTTGCAGATGGAGTATGCAATTATATTTTTCTCTCCTTGCAATTATATTCTGCTTGCAATTATGTTTTACTTACAGACAGCCAACTTGTTTGAATGACGAATTCAAATGTCTCATGTAACTTTGCTGATGAATGCGTCATTTGAAATGAAATACATTTTCAGTAGATCGTTCAGTATATCCTTGGATTTTGATAAGTCTTTTTTACCAGACTAGAGCAATGAATTATGTACTATGTTTAAAATTGTTTAGCGCCAATATACTTCACTCAATACTTTTATTTTGCAAGGTTTGTTATTTTCTTGTTTCAGATCAGGTAGATGCTGCCTTCTTATTACTGCAGAAGGGTGTTGACATCAATTGCCAAACAGCTGGAAAGCAGACACCACTCCATTTAGCTTCAACTACCCCTGAACATGCAAAAACTCTTGAGATGTTACTTTTAGATAAAGGGATTAACCCTACCTTAAGAAATGGTGCTAATGAAACTGCTTATGAAATTGCTAAGAGAAGTGGTCCCCACCATCAACTATTTGAACTAGTAGATCCAAGTATTTAATGATTTTTTCAGTTTTTGTTGCTTATTATCTTCAATTAAACCATACCAACCATTTTTCCATTCTTTCTATCTCTTTCTATCTGTTCTTTGCATAAAATCAACTTCAATTTCTCAAGCAAAAATCATCCTGATAAGGTCATTGTAAACTCAAGGAGACATGCCAAATTGTCCACAATTGAAACCGTATATTTTCTTTCCTTAAATAGTATGATTAGCAATTAAAGTGATTAGCACTTAGGATTTGTTATTAATCTATGAATGTCTTAGTATGTTATTAATAGTATGATATGAATGTCTTATTAATCTACCCAAAGTGTTACATTTGGACCTTTTAGTTTGTATGATACCTTTTTGTCATAGCATCCTCCAATTGTAATCTAGCCCCCCCCCCTTTCCAAGAGAAAACTAAGTTAGTATTTTTACATCAGTAGTGACATGACAACCAGCGAGACCAGCAAGTATCAGAGAAATTCTGTTACGTCAGTTTTTCATAAAATGGTTCAAGGAAGTTAGCAAAAGCAATATAAAGATTTAAAATTTGGTAAAAAATAGTAAAAATAAAAAAATTCAATGAAACAAAAAGTTAAAAGAATTGAAATTTACCCTTCAATAAATTATATTTTGTGCAGTCCGTTTATGTACACTGGACCATAATATACCATGTTATTCTAAAACAAGTAAATACATTGTATTGTTCCAAAAAACTGTGGCCCTACTATTCTTAGAATCAAAGGACTTATTTTCTCCTTTTATTTTAAAATTAATTTCACATTACACTCAATTTCATTTGAATTGTTTTCTTTACAAAGAGCATTGCAGAGTTAGATTCATTGCCTATAAATGAATTTCAAGTTAAAACACACTTCTTTATATGAGCACGGAGGCTCAATTTGCAAAAAGTATGAAAAAGGTAAAAACATACCCAGCCTTAGATTAAAGGCTAGAAAACAATCTGTTGTTTCATGACACTGGGCTCGAAAACCCTTTCAGTTCTCGCAGGGATTTCTGGATTTCTTCAGATCAATGTTCTCGCAGGGATTTCTTCCCCCGCAGATCAATGTTGGACTTATAGTTCTATCACTTTTGCTTCAAAATCATGCATTCAACATTAAGTCAAGGGAGGGAAAAAGCTACTGTATTTCTCAAAGGAAAGCGAAAATATCAATTTCTTCGAAAATATTAAGTCTCAACTAATTTTGTCAGTCTCCTAGCAACTTCGGAACACATTTGCCTGATTTTGCATGTTTAGAGATATTTCATGATGCTGTTTCATGTAATTGTGTCCAAATTAAAAAATTCTTAGAATAGACTTTTGTGACGTCATCCCTTTTGTATTGTGTTGTATTGTATGGTATTGTATTGTATTGTATTGTATCCTATCGTCTCGTTTCATTTTCTCAACTAAATACTTCCATGCCTTAAAAAATATTTCATAAATTTTCGTTTGCTTCTGCCCAGGGTCCTGCAATCAATGGCGGCTCCAGCCACTACGCCACGTCCTTTTAAGCCCCCCCCCCCCTATTTGTCACCCGAAAACACCCTTTTACTAGCAAGGAACGCCAATTTCACCTGAAGGGAATGCCCATGACTAACTTTTAGCTAAGTAAAGGCAATTTGAAAATCATAGAATTATTACAAAAAGTACGTTGTCAAAATATTACCTCTCCCCTAACATTTTCTCATCGAATTTAGATGAAATACAAATTAGCCCTGCCGAGAAATGGAGGGACGTGTCCCCCTAGTCCCTCTGTGGCACCGCTACTGATCCTGCAAAGAACTGGGGGGACTGTCTCGGCGGCACATTTAGTAAAAATAAGGGCACCTATGTCTTGGGGGGGGCACCTCTGTAATCTGCAAGTAGTTGCTTTACCGCACTCTGAAAAGCAGGGACCCCCTTCGCCCCCCCCCCTCCCTGGTTTCTGTCTATGGTTTCAATTCCGTGCATCTCTTTGACTCAGCTTAGGATCCTGAAAGTACTAAGCATGTGCCCATGGTAGTTATGATAACCAGAAAGCTCCAGCGCATAGGATATCAGCATCCTTTCATCGTCTTTGTCTCTGCTGTCTTTATTGGGAATTGCTGAATTTGTTGTCTTCTACTAAAACACACCTTCCGAACATCTACTAAAATTTGTAAAAAAATCATAGCCTATGGTACATTTGAGAGATTTGAGTAGTTTTAGAATCGCAAGAGGACTTGAAGGGATTCTCGGATTTTTAAAGGATTCTTGCGGATTTTCGGATTTTTTTCGTATTTTCAAAGGGGGTGTACTGGATTTCTTTATATGAAATGCCCCCTCGGTTTGAGCTAACGAACGTTCAAGTCACAGAATGTTCGAGTTATCGAGGACTGTGACTTCAATTAGTTTAGTTACCAGGATTCGAAAACGAGGCTATTACATCTTTCAGTGGAAAAATGGAGGAACTAACAGAATATCTTGCCAACGCTGCTTGCAATAGAATTGGTAAAACAATAGAGTCAAAAGAATCAGGTAGACTTCTTTGCGTGTCTCGTCAACTCATTTTTGTTATGATGTTTTATTAGTTGTGTAAATTTGAATAAGGAGTTGCAGAAACCTCTTAATCACTGCCAATGCCAAAAGTCTTGGAACGTTGACGTAAGTGTTCGAACGAGGAAGTCATTTCTAGTTAGGCCCAATGAGGTATAAGAATAGCTAGAGAGTCAACACGAGGCTCCTCTGACAGACTCAAGTGAAGCCTTTGCGGTGATCTGTAATATTCCATTTGCACGGCAAGAAACAGCAGCGAAATAGTAAACAAGTGACGACGTCGAGATATTTGGAAATAATTCTGGTGCAATAAAGAAAACGCATCAAACTAACAATCTTAGTCTTGACTAAGAAAACAACAAGGATGCTTTACACTATGGAATAAGATCGTTATGGCTCATTTAAAAACATGTTTTCGCGATTACGGTTCCTTTTTGGTGAGCGGTTTCGAAAGGGCCATGGCCTAAATTATACACACCTGCAAAAGTCAAATGTTTTTAAATAGTATGAGCTTGTTCATCTGATGTCTAACGCTAGGAGTGTTCGAATTGACTATTTGTCGGGTGTATCGCTTGCCGTAAGTTTGTAGACGCATGGTTAAGTATCTAATTGACACTTTTTTGACGAGTTGAGCGAGGTGATCATCCTGAAACCCAGGTTCCACTTCAAACCCATGATCGCCCATACATGGAAAGTGTTGCTGCCAGTCACACACAGAGACAACTTGAATCAACATTTTCCAAAGAAGATTACTTTCCGAAGTGATTTGATTTCGGCTCGAATTAATGACATTCATTTTGAAAGATTTTTCGCATTGCTCCACAACTTTGAAAGCTCCATATGATGCTTGAATCAATCCACCTCTGTTCTTACGGGAAAAGAGCATTGCGTATGGCATGGTTGCATAGAAGTGATCTGTGGAAGAAACTGGAATCACCAAAGACTCAGAACACTGCTGGCAATCAATCTTATGGATAATTTTCCTGATAATGAAGCCAGAAATGTAGTAAAGAATATTCTCCTGCAGCGAGGTTACATTTATGGATCCAAACAGATGGTGAAGTTCTTCCTCACTTTCAATGGTTTCATCCTCAGAGATGGGTTTGAGCAACTCAGCAACAGGTGTGCGTCTTTTACTGGCCCTAAGGGAGAATATTGATCCATTGGACTCAGCCTCAAATGAAAGGACATTTGCCTTATTGAATGCCATTATTGAGTTTCGCATTAATATTTGGCAAAGAGCTGTCTTGAACTGTACTGTGTTTGGATTGTTGTTGAATCCTCCTCGAGCACGTATACATGAAAACAAAAGCTCAATGTGATCCTGAGAGAATTTGTAGGTCAGCAAAAATATGTAAGGATCATTATTTCTCATAAGTAACTCTTTGGCTATGGAAAAAATTGACTTTGATGCTGATACAAACCCCAAGATGAATGTTTTGCGACAATGATTTACCAGAAGTTGATCATTACCTGCTTTCAGGCTAAGAAGATATTCTGAGATATTTTGGATTTGTTGTTTTAAGCTGTTTAAATTTGTGACTCTTATAGGTGATTTAAAACCTTTCATCATTGGGTGCCTAGAATTAAGAAAGTCAAACAGCCTATCAATGTTTCTAATAAATTGGATTGTAGCAGCACAACCTTGGAAGCTTTCAAGATTCATGTCAGTTTTCAGAAACTCTAATGCATCAGCTACAGATGAGCTGAATGTTTGGGCTGCTAGCTTGACTTTCATTTTGTGTTTTTCCCAATTTATGTGTTCTGAATTTAACTTGTTTGCTAAAGTAAAACCTTCCTTGTCTTGCAAGACTGAAAGATTTGTTATGTATTTCCAAGAGATACTTTCCCCATCTGATGTTTTGAATGATCCTAGGTTTCCTAAGGCATTGCGAGCCAATTTTAACATGTGACATGCATCTAATGTGGAATAAACAAAATAATCTCTTGTAGGATGCTTAAATTTAACAATCATGGTGTCATATTTATCTGTGAATCTGCATCCAAGGTTCTCCAGTGTGCTTAAATTGGTAGATGTACCATCACATGTTATGGACCAGACTCTAAAGCCATGATCAGCTGCTAATGAAAGGCCTGTTTTGATTAATGATGCTTGTGATTCAGCATTTAATTTGTCTGTTAAAAAGTATCCAACTGGACATTTCCAGTGTGACTTTAGGCCGGTCAACATAAAAACTAAAGCCTCAGAAGCAAGGTTTTCAGAGTTTTCTGGAATGATGTTACCATAGTCAACAAAGCCAGAATACTTTGACTTGAGCTGATCATAAGTTACCTGTTTCCTAATTGACATTCCATCAATAAGCAAGGCGCAATCTAACATTTCTGGCTTATCTTTGGACTGGTTTTCAAGATCCTGAAAAACCTCAGTAAGGAAGCCTGGCTCACAGTTGACGGAAGCTGTCCACTGCTTAATGGATGACTCATGTGGTAGCTTAAAAATTTTGCGTAGAAAATTATATGCTCTGTGCGAGTAGAAATTTACAGTCAGGGCAAATTGTTTTAATTCTTCGCTATATCGCCTTCCAGCTGGTTTACGGCCCTTATTTTTAACCTCATTCAGGAAAAGTTCCAAACAGGTGCCAGAAAATTGATCCTTAAGGAGGTCTGCACTTGACTGGGAAAGAAGTTCTTTATTTTTCATAGTATCAATAAGGTCACCCATTGTTTTTATTTTCTGATTTCGTCTACGCAGCTTTTGTTGAAGAATTTTGATTTTTTTTCTCAGTCGCATTTTTGTTGGTGAATTGGGATCAGATTTTCCCTCTTTAGGTTTTTTAACTGTTTGGCTTTTTTGCTGTCCCTTTGCCCCCTTTTTTAAACATGGGTTTTTCCTCACTAACTTCCTTCTGGTTTTTGGTGGCTCTCTCATGAGGTGTTTTGGGAACTTTGGGAAAATGGATGGTACAGCAGAGGGGGCCAAACGTGGCCTTGGCTGACCAGGGGGTACCTTGTAATCTGTAACAAGGAAGTGATCGCTACAGATATAGGAGTATTTTGTAGGGTGCCATTTCCAACGCCTCACTGCTGCAATCCAGAGTTGCCGCTTCTCCTCATTTGCAGGAAACCTGAAAAGCACCAAAAAGCAAAAAAGGCTTAACAAACAACCAACCTGAAAAATCACCACGAATCTCAAAGGCTTAGAATCTCAAAACTCTCAACCCATCTGGAGCAAATAAAATATATATTTATGACTGTCCGGAACGATCATTTTTTGCAAAATATTTAACGAGAAATGCAACCATGACCAGGCGGCTTCGCCGAGCAAAACTTTCCATCTACCCACAAATAATAGTAAAACCTTGGAAAAAATCTCATCCTAGCTGCTAATGAATTCTAAAATAACTGATAAATTATAAACCTAGACCCAGCAGACCCTATAAAATCCATTAGCAATCAGAAACCAACCGGTGAAATGAGACAGGCCTAGGCCTACTAGCTCCATCAACATCCCCTACTCCCATCGAATTTTCGCATTCTTGACTATCAATCTGATCACCATCAGTTCCTCCACCCTTACTTCCATCTCGTTGTCGATTCTGACAACCAAAGGCAGCACAAGAAATAACCATTTCGAAAGCAGTACGCGTTTTACAAATCACACACTCGCAGAACACAACAACCCGTCAGAAGACTTTTGCCGTGCAAATGAAATTCTTCGAAACGCCTTGTGGCTTCAAGCCTCACTTTCATGCTATCTCTCTAGCTATTCTTATACCTCATTGGGGATTTGTCACCGACAACAAGAGGCTGCCAATAACTGAAGTGAGGCTTGGAGATACAGGTGGTGCGTCTGAAGAAGGTGCCCATACCATTGGGAAACTTATCTGTGAAGAGTGGCCATAAGCATTCATTAAAGACTACCATCAATTCAAATTTTGCAGGGGATCATCGGAGGAGATTTCCGTTAGTTGCACGTTGAAAAACAAAACAATTGCAACTATGCAGTGGGAGAATTGAATGCTTAAAGAGACACAATTAAACACTCCAGATGAATTAAAACCAAATGGATGAAAGTCGTATAAGAGAGCAACAATCATATTTCACTTATTACTGCAAAATTCTCAATATTACAACACGGAAAGGAAAGGGAAATTTGCACATTGAATATAATGCATCCACATGAAGCATAGCTTGTAATATAGTCACAAAGGGAAAGTCTTTATGTTTATCCTTTGTTTGCCTTTCCAGTAGGTAAAACACCTTAATATCTTGTTATGTCTAACGACATTTTTCGACGTATGATTTAAAAGCAGTTCTAAAGTTTATGACGTCATAAAAACTATTTTTACAATTTTTGAATTCAGATCCAAAAACTGAAAGAGCAACGAGATCTCTAAAGTTACAAAATCAGTCAAATGTGTTACGAATTGGCAAAAATATGGTTACATTAGCACAGGCTCCTTCCCACCAAACCTCTGTAACATGGTCTGAATTCATATAACAGGGTAAAATAACAGTACTCCGAAAGTGAACTTCAAATATTTTACTGGCCATATCTCCCCGGATTTTAGATATATTCCACTGATTTTGCATATTTGGAAGTATTTCATCTTGTTTTTTGATGTTATGTGATTAAAATTCGAAAATTGGAAAACAAGTTTTTTGTGACGTCAAACCAGACATCGCAGAGCAGGGGGGCTGGGGAGAGACTTTAACAGCTCACTTTTAATAAAAAATGCAAAATATTGAGAAGTAAGCTACCAGCAAAGCCATAATACATTCGGTTTTAGCCCTCGCACTTTTTTAGATCCCCCACAATTCCCAACGCTCCGCGGTGCCTGCAAACTGAAAAACTCTAATGCTGTAAATAGACTGCTCTTAGTGTAGCAACGATTTCATTTTTGTTCACACTCTCCACAGATATCGTCCACACAAAGCACAAATATACCTCATAAGAAATACTACTTTATATGCCACCAAGATAAAAAACAAACTAAAGTAAATTAAACCTAACTTGCTCA